GCAAGCCCGTTTCCATCGTCGACTTGGCCACCGGACGGCTACAACCACTACATAACAAAGTCACTTGGACAACACCTTCGGGATGGCGATGTGGACTATCATCCCCATAGACACCGTCAATTTGAGGCCGACCATCACGGCCAAGAGTCCTTCTCGAGTGAGACACCATCATCAACCTCCGGGCCTGCGCCTTCCTTCGCGTCAGGCCTGCTGGGCACTGGGCCCCGTGGCGATGGGTTCGCTCCTCCGCCCCCAGGCTATCCTCGAGTCATCAAACTCGAGGAACGCCGCTATTCCGATGCGCCGATTCCGGAATGCACACAGTTCGAAATACTTCCCTATGGACAAGCCGCTCAGCCCGTTCGCGATGAAAACGGAAATATGGTTGTCGTCACCATGTATCCACCGGAGGCTACAGAGACTAGCTCACCACGCTCATCACGTCGCTCGGTCAAGAGGTTCACGGACTGGGACCTTGATTTAGATGAAGAGGATGATAGTCCGATTTGGAGCCCGGAGGTTTTGCGGAGGGGTGAGGGGGACGGAGGATTGTCATACGCAAATGGTGGCGCTGTTTCGTATGGAAGCCAGTGTAACTGTGAGTGGTTTGTTACATGAGAATATGTCCTGGAAATATTAGCGTGGTAGTATCCGAAGGTTTTCGTGGGGCTTTGCATAGCGGTTTGCATATCGGTGGATTTTTCCATTACCAGGCGTTAGTTTTGGACATATTAAGGTTGGGTGGAGTGGAACTGATCTTTCTACGTACGCCATGTACTTATTCGTGAGCGAGTGATGCTTGTAGATTGGATATCACTGATGTCGTGTTCATGAAAAATTCAAGTGTATAACAGATCAAAAGAACGCCGTACCCCATGCTCCCTTCTAGATTGACGTTGGAGAAACCATCCATTATATATAGAGCATCATTTATCGCTCAATCAGACACCGGGCCTCGTCTCCGCCTTTCGCTGTTTGTTCAAAAAGCCTCTGAGAGGTTATCGAACGACGGGATCTTGGACACGTCGCAGTTGAAATCTCTCTGATACGCCTTCTCAGGCAAAACACCGGCAGCCAAACCCTTTTTGTAGCTCCATTGATACCTATTATGGCACTTCATCAGTAAAGAGTTACAAGAGTTAGGTGAAGGAATGGGGTTTAGCGAGTCGGACGAGTTGAAGACAAGAAGTTAAAAGGAGGAAGGAAGTTTAAAAATAAAAAATAAAAATAAAAAATAAAAATAAAAACTTACGCGTCCTCAGTATCCCAAAGCCAATAAAACCACCCCCACCCTTTCTCAAAGCTATACATCTGCGCCTCCGCAAACATTTTCAAGAAGGTCTTGTAATCATCACTCCACTGATCCGGCGGCGCATTGGCAGCAATACAATCACACCTGCTGTCCGTGTAAGGACACCTTGGCGTCGACACATCGCTGCTCTCACTTCCCGTAAGCAGCGTCCCCGTCCACCGATTCCCCCAACCGACATTCGTCAAGTACTTTGCACAATCCGTATCAGCCTGGGACCACTCAGCCACCAGCGTCGGACCGTAACCCCTGGAACGATCCATCGACAGCTCCGTCTGCTCCGTCCACCCCTCGCACGCGTACTTGATCTTGTCGTGATGCTTGTACACAATCTGGTTGGTATTGAAAATGACATACTGGTGCACGTCGAGTGCGGCGCCGTCGCCCAGGTCTTGCAATTCACCCTGCCAGTTGGCGAGGCCGCGGAAGCCATCGCCAAAGACGACGATGGCGTCTTTGACGCCGTTTTTGCGTACGAGCGCATAGGCGTCTTCGATCCATTGGAGAACGGCGTCGACGGATAGAAAAGTCATTTTCGGCTCGTTGGCCAGGCCATAGTGGGAGATGATGTTCTTGTATCGGTCCTGGGCAAAGAACTTTGAAAGTCGGTTGTGGATTTCCAGGGAACGCTTGGCGTTGAGGTCGCCGTCTGTTCCATTTAACCAGCCGATGTAGCCCTGGCGGCCGGAGTGGTTCCACCCATTTTGGGAACCGGGGAGGCCGTGCAGGTCCAGGTTGACGCGCAGGCCGTACTTGCGGCACCACTCGATGGCGCGCAGGAGGTACCGCCATGAGGTGCGGAAGACGTACGGGTCGCCGTCATAGGTCTGCACGGCCCAGTAGGAAAAAGGTATGCGGACGTGATCGAGTCCGGCATCGGCGATCTCCTTGAAGGTCTGTTCGGTTACAAAGGTGGCGTAGTGTTTTTCGAATACGGACTCGCACCGAGAGCCAAGGTGAGTGCAGAGCGTGTATTCGTCGACGATGCCCAAACGCAGGTCGTAGGCGAAGAGGGAAGGGGTGATGAAGGGCTCGAGACTGAGCCAGCCGCCGACGTTGACGCCTCGGGCGGGTCGCTTGGAGTAGTCCCCCCAGGGCTTGTTGAGAGCTGGGACCTGGTCGTTGGCGGCTTTGGAGTCGTCCCACTGGGAGAAGAGACCCATGACAGGTAGGTCGCCGACTGTCTGGGCCGTGTAGGTCAGGTTGAAGTCGGTCGTGTCGGCCCACTTGAAGGGATTTAGCCAGGTTGGTGCGTCGGCGGGGATGTCGTCGGGTGAAATATCGCCCAAGCCCTGTGAAGGTGTGTCGTTGCTACCCTTGCCGTCGCCGTCGTCGGACTTCTTTTTGCTGACAGTCACGGCGATAATGATGATAATGATGACGATAACCACACCGATACCAACCGCAATCCACAGCTTCTTCCGTTTCTTCTTGGGTGGTGAGGACCCTATATCATCGCTCATCTTGTCCACGGATTCATAACCACTGCTGGACGACATACTTGGCCCGCCATGGCCACCACGGAGATTCTGAAATCTCGCCATGAAGCCGCCTTTCTCTAGCATGCCACCGCTGACGTTCCGTGCCCTTATCCCCTGCTCAAGCATAGGACCGCTTGCAACCCTGAGCCGGCTTCTGTCCTCTCCTGCTCTGTTATCTGGCCGTAACCGCTCATAACTTTTGGGTTTGTCAGGCCGGGCATCCACAACTCGGTAACCCTTGTCGTCACTGTCTGTTCTCCTATGCGGGGTAAGTCGTTGGTACTCGTCGTCACTCTCCATTGCCGGGGCCCTTTTCCTCGCCCTTTCTTCTCTCTTCTTCGCCGTAAGATACTGGTACTCGTCGTCGCTATCGGGTGGCACCATTCTGGGCTTAGGTCGTGTTCTATCATCCCTGGCCGCATCTCTGGAATCCCGCGGCCTCCTTGAGGGAGCGTATCGGTACTCGTCCTCGCTTTCCACCGTTGCCACTCTTGGTGGCTTGGCCCTTGCTCTCTGTCTTTCCCTTTCGCGATCCCTTTCCCGGACTCGTTCCCTCTCCCGTTCACGCTCCTTTTCCTGCTGCTCTCTCTCCCGCTCCTTCTCGCGTCGCATCCTCGACTCTCTCCGGGCCTCGCGCATGCGTTCCCTTTCCCTTTCCTGCTCCCGTTCCCATGCTACATCCCTCTCGCTCTGAGCATCATAGCTTCGCTCCAGAGCTCGTTTGACCTCTTTCTTTGGGCTGGCTTTCCGCTTTGCATTCTGCTTGTTGAGCTGGGCCAGAGCTGCTGCTGAAAGGGTTGCTGAACTGCCGTTTGACGATTCTCCTCTGGGTTCTCCTCTGGTGATTGGCGGTACGCTGGTGCCGGGTTCGGGTCTCCTGCTTCTGCGCCTTGGCTCGCGACCGGCACGCTCACCACGCTCACCGTTATCATCACTATTCCTGACCGCTGAAGAGTTGCGGCTGCGTCTCTGCGCCGACTGTCTCCTGGGCCTGTAGTCCCGTTCCGGGGACGAATCCCTTGGGGGTGGCATTATTGTTGTGCGACCACCTCCTGAAACCGACTGCTGCTGTATGCTGAGAAGAGTGGAAGAGTCATGATAGGGAAACCCGAAGAAGCAACCCAGATCGGGGGTTCAGGAGGAGAAATCGTTAGTCCCTGGGTTGGAGCCGCTGCTTCGTTGCCCGCTGGGTGGAGTGGTGACGACGACCCCTGCCACGCTATCTATTTCCTGACCTGTTCCCTGCCAACCAGCTTCGCCGGCAGGTGTGTCCCGAGCTGAGGTGGTTCTGGCTGTGATGACCTATGCAAGGCTTCCATTCAGTGGGCAGTCCAGGCTTCAGGCTTCAGGCTTCACCAGTTGCAGTGAGGCCCGGCGTTTAGCAAGTCGCATCCATTGCGCCCAGCCTTGGTTTCAGCTTGGTCTAGCTTGGCTTGGCTCGTAGTGGGAAGAGCTGCCCTGGACGATACCTAGAGGTTAGGTACCTACCTAGGGGTAGTCAACCTTATCCCCCATCTAATTCGCCAACCTTTATAATGGTTCAGTCACAAATCAGGATTCAAAAGGCCACCAGGGGGAGTGGAATAGAAAGTCAAGCAGTTGAGAAGCATGTCTGATGGAACTGTCATCATATCATTCAGACACAGCATGGCCGCGTCATGCCGACTGATCTGTACCTAGCTTTTCTCCCATCTTTCTCACTTGGGATGAACCAGTTCCGCATGCACTGTCTGGTATTGTCTAGGTAGCAGGTCTCTCCGCTGATGGGAGGCAGGGGGGCTCGGCGGATACCGAAGCGCAGGCACCTGGCACAACCTCAAGGGGCAGGAACATGCACTATCGGAGCGACGCACGGACCGCTACACTTGAACTGAGGAACTCCAAAAGGGCGGGGAAGATGGATGCCGAGATGGATCCTGTCTTTCCCCTGTGCTCCAGCGGGTGGCCCGCACCGCTAATAAGGAAGGCATGGGGCCCCGCGCTGCACTTCTCATCATTTGTTGACATAACTCCAACAAAGCCGTTGCAAGCCGACCGACCGTTGTCCCGTTTTGATACAATGCCGCTTCTTTGGGAATTGTATCCCGTCGGGAGGAGAATTCTGCCATCTCCTCCTCTTCTCTTCCAATTGTTGTGGTGTGTGTTGACCTGATTGTCGTCTCATCATCTATCATTATTGCCATCCAGAATTCGGTTTGTTGTGGTTCACAATGAGAGGCTCAACTATCCGGCCCAAGGCGCAATGCCTTCGTTCGCTTTCCAAGGGCCTGACTAAACGTCCTTCGGCCGGTCTACGATATGTCCCCGTTGCTGCTACTCTGGCGCCGTCTCTCCCGTCGCAACGAGCGTACTCGACACACCCGCCTCATGCAAAGCTCAATCTTCCTACCGACTATTCGACAACTCCATTGCTTGCGCAGACATCCCAATCGGCGCTCAACAACCCTGAGCTGTCTCCCGAAGTCCGCAATGGCCCAACGAAGCGCATGAACATGTTCCAAGCTGTCAACGATGCTCTATCTATTGCCCTCGCCCAAGACGAATCGGTCTTGATATTTGGCGAGGACGTCGCCTTTGGTGGTGTCTTCCGCTGCACGGGAAAGCTTGCCGACACATATGGCGCCGACCGCGTCTTCAACACTCCGTTGTGCGAGCAGGGTATTATGGGCTTTGCCATTGGCGTTGCTGCCGAGGGAATGCGCCCTGTTGCCGAGATCCAGTTTGCCGACTACGTATACCCGGCTTTCGACCAGCTGGTGAACGAGGCTGCCAAGTTTAGATACAGGGATGGTTCCTGCGGGCGGAGTGCCGGGGGGTTGACGGTACGCATGCCCTGCGGAGGTGTTGGTCATGGTGGTCTCTACCACACACAGTCGCCGGAGAGCTTGTTCACACATATTCCAGGATTGCGAGTGATCATGCCCAGATCACCCATCCAGGCCAAGGGCTTGCTGTTATCCGCCATTCGCAGCAATGACCCATGTGTCTTCATGGAACCCAAGATCCTCTACCGTGCTGCCGTTGAGCAGGTGCCCACCGGGTCCTATACGCTACCATTATCCAAGGCTGAAGTGCTGAAGGAAGGAAAGGATGTGACCATCATCTCATACGGTCAACCCCTATACAAATGCATGGATGCGTTGCAAAAGGCCGAGAAGGACTTTGGTGTCTCAGTGGAATTGATTGACCTCCGAACGGTCTATCCATGGGACAAGGAGACCGTATTCCAGAGTGTCAGGAAGACGGGGCGCTGCATCGTGGTTCATGAATCCATGGTCAATGCCGGCATTGGTGCCGAGGTGGCCGCTGCCATCCAAGAGGACTCGGAAACCTTTGTTAGACTCGAAGCTCCTGTGGCTCGAGTTGCTGGATGGAGCATTCACACGCCTCTCATGTTCGAGGCCCTTAACATTCCGGATGTTGCGAGTGAGTAACTTTATCCTTGTACGAGTTTGGTAAGAGCGAAATAAGCTGACATGACATTAGGGATATATGCCAACATCAAGAAGGTGTTGAACTTTTGATGATGAGCGGGAAAAAAGGAAGAAGATGGGCAAGTCGTAGCGGGGCGTTTATAATAGGCGAGTTCGGTTCTGGCGGGTGCCGTCTTGTAAATACCGACAAATACTTGATCTTGTAACGATGCCTGTTAAAGGCAACTCAACCGACTGCCCTCAACAACCCCAAACCCTGCCATGTATGCCAGTGCTTTGCCATTTTCCAAACTCGTGATCTTGTAACTCAATTGTTGTCATCGTAGCAGTGTTCTTTTGTTTACAGAAGTCGCAAAGCTAAGCAGTAAGCCGGATTCAGGATATTACTTGTAACGACAATGCAGCTCGCCAGCTGTGAAGCCCCTTGACAGCTGTCAGCCTCATAAGTAGTATCCACATCCCACTTCAGGCGGCCCCGCAGCGGTTTGGTGCCATTCCATGCTCCCGTCCCACTGACGGCGGCGGACATGCCCAAGACGCAGCTCCATCATCTCTAGCAGCGTGGTACCGTTGATCGATACCAGCTTCACCAACTAATATACAACAAATCTACCAACCCACAAGTAAAGAACGCCGAGAAACTTTTTAATCCTGTCTATTTTCTTTTAATTACCATTAGAGCACGGAACCATGGCGTCGCACAAGGAAATTGTGTCCTCCTTTGTTGAGGGAGCTCCCCCTGGCGAGGTGCGCATCCTACACCGACACCAACGAGCCGAATTGCGTATGCTAACATGTTGACGTACAGCTCGCCGATGTTGTTGCAGGCACGATATTCCCCTTCGTCCTTGGATCGCGACCCTACTTTCTAACGATTCCGAGCTTTCAGACATCAAGGCCCTTACTAGCTCGACCCCTAATCTGCTGAACGAGCTTGGACCGGCGTTCCAAAAGTACAACGAGGAACAGTTCGCGACGGTGAAGCTCCCCGGTGGTAGCCAACCTGTTATCATTAGCTCCCATAGTTCTCTGGAGGATGGTCGTTACTACGACGTCGAGAGCTCCTCGAGCTTCGCCTACGACCACATTACTCAGGTTAGCCAGCCCACTGAGCAGCCAATGGAAAACAGCGACACATGGAACAAGTCAATAACCCAAGCGACTACAGAAAGCCAGCGATGTTCAGAGTCACGTCCTAGAAGGCGAACAGACCGACCTAGTGTAAGGAAAACAAGAACCCACGCAACATTCGAGGAGCGAAGGGCAGGGCTGATACCAGTTGCAGGAAATCCACGGTCAAGGGGCTTTCAGCCTACGTCAAGGAGCACTTTCCTAACGCCGCCTATGGCGCGTACCCGATAGAGAATGACTCCAAAATCGCGGTTGTTATTGTCGCGAACAAGTACAGCCCGAACAACTTCTGGTATGTCGCTTCGGAACGGAGCCGATTGCCTTGTCGCATACTACCCGCCTTTTGCGTTAACACAAGGTAACAGGAACGGACGTTGGCGCTCGCTATACATCTACGACCCATCCAACAACTCCATTGAGGGCTCCATCAAGGTCGACGTGCACTACTACGAGGACGGAAACGTGCGTTTGTTGACTAACAAGACAGTCACCGCGACCGTGTCGTCAGGCACCGGCAGCGGCATTGCCAAGGAGATCTCGGTGAACGAGAAGAAGTACCAGGAGGAGTTGAACAAGAGTTTCACAAGCCTCAGCGAGGGCGCTTTCAAGGGCTTGAGAAGACAGCTGCCGGTGACGAGACAGAAAATCGAGTGGGACAAGGTCGCCAGCTATCGCCTGGGACAGGATATCGGTGGTGGAAGCTCTAGGCGGTAATGGGTATATGGAAGGATGGACCTGAGTAATATAAGCCTAGGTAGTACGAAGGAGAGAGGGCGAGCACTGCTGGCAGTGGCCAAACCAAATTTAAGTCAGTACAGAAGAACCAAAGAAGGAAGAGCACAGCTCACTCAAGTTTGCTGTGTCACCGGCTGTTCGGGTGTGTCCGTGATCGCTGCCCGATGTTACAGCTGTGGGGAATTGGTTGAATGGGTCCCGCAACATTCCCTTGCTCTAAGAACGAAAACTTGTCTCGGTGATCTCCCCTCACCCAGCACTAAATAACGAAGAAGGGGACGGGTGTCTCGAGTGCTACACACTTGCCACACATATGAATGAGTGCTGCGGGAGCTGGAAAAACAAAAACGTGAAAAAGGTGGGAGGTGCTCGCGACGCAACAGGGCGATGGAACCGAGTCGCATACCCGTGGGTGCCGTGGGATGTTCCCGGTCGGGGTTGACGCAGTGGCCACAATTTTGACTCGGAGGAGTCTTGTTGAGCGCACATGTTTGCGCCAATCACACGCCTGTGCGTATTTTGCCTGTTTCTGATTCGGTCTAGCTACCTCAGAAGGCTGCGTTGTTTCGATTTTAGGCTTGTCAAGCTATCTCCGTCGCAGTACCCAGGAGCCAGGGCAGTGGAGGTCTTGTTGCTTATGCCCCCAGGTCCCCTCCAGTCGATCCAGTCAGTTCCCCGTGAAACCATTTTTTATCTCGACTTTTTCCTCTTTCCCCCTTTCTCTGTTCTTTGCACCTCGTCGCCGGCGTTAACTTTTCCTCCACGATCATTGCTTTCAGCGTCATCTCGGTCTTCCCATTCATCCGAATCACAGGGTAAGTCACGAAGCGCGCAATGGCCCGAATTGGGTCCTCTCCTGGCCTGTCAATCGGTTATCAGAGACCGTGCTGATGCTATCAACCACCTGTCCAAAAAGAAAGCCCACAACACCGTCAAGATGTCCGCCGAGTTCACCTACCAGGATGTTGCCGAGCACAACACCAAGAAGGACCTCTATGTCGTGATTCACGACAAGGTGTACGACATCACCAAGTTCGTCGACGAGCACCCGTAAGTTTGTCCCGCCTTCTGTGCCTATGTCGCACTCATAGCACGTCCCCTACGTTCCAGTCACGCCCCCCCGATCCCCAACTTTCCGCCTCCCCGTCATTGGACACTCGGCATCTAGAATGAGGAAACATGTGCTGACCTGTTTTTCTTTCTTTCGTGATACACAGCGGTGGTGAGGAGGTCCTTCTTGACGTCGCTGGCCAGGACTCCACCGAGGCTTTCGAGGATGTCGGTCACTCTGACGAGGCCCGCGAAGCCCTCGAGCCCCTCCTTGTCGGCACCTTGAAGCGCCAGGTAAGAAAGAACATACATGGCTTTGGATGCCATTCGCATGTGATGATAGATCAATTCCAACTGACATGTTGCTCTTTTCAACCAACAGGCCGGTGACCCCAAGCCCAAGGCTCCCCTTCCCAGTTCTCTTGCTCCCGCTGCTCAGACTGGCACTGCCACCGGTCTCGGCATTGGCCTCTACGCCGTCCTCGTCCTTGGTGGTCTTGCTGGCTTCGCTGCCTACCAGTACCTCCAGGCCCAGCAGGGCGCCACTGCTCCCAGCGCTTAAACGCATCCAATCGCAAATCTTCCGGTTGCTTACTGACCTATCGGCTGTCGAACCACGCCGTGGGAGGCACGGAGGGTCCGAAGAGACGAGATCCTTTTTCCGTTGGAGACTCCGGGGAAAGGATGAGGAAATCCTGCCCAAACACACGCGGCCACCAAGAATCTACGGAAAGCATTTCAACGACTTTTCATGATCAAGAGTCTGCAACATCTCAACGACGATCCTTGCGCAACTATTTTTCTAGGTGAAGCCGAGGTATCATCGAGCTCTTTTCTTTACCGGCGGGCTATCCTTTACCCCATCTCGACGGACATGAAACACCATGAAATGAAGATGTGTGTTGAGCGAGCCTGATTGCTTCTTTCGCTGAGAAGAACAGATCACTTCACCCTTTAACTAGGTGTTAGGATATATGGGAACAGAGAGGGATCTTTATGGAAATGAACATACATTGGTCGTTACTACCCAATTGTAATAGAGACGGTACATGTACATAGCACCGAAATACCCTTTGATGCACCTGCTTTGACATAACGTTGCCCCCAGAGTTCGTCTGTTAATAGAAGTTGCATTTGCTTACAACGAGCATCGATGCTTCTATCCCTATCTTGAAACGAGACATCATGGCTGTAGATTGGAATGCACAAATTAATGTTTGGAACTGCCATCTCGACTCAAATCTCTATCTGTTCCCGCTCACGTAAACTTGAAGTGCTAATACTCGTCACATGTAAGTTTCTTGTAGGTGAAGCCGCGAGAAACGAGCCTTGCCTGGGAGTTGTAGCCTTTGCGTCTCACATGCAAGGTACCAGGTACTTCTTGCGTCTTCCATCCACCTTGATGAGGGTTTGCACATCGTGTTGCTCAGTGATGATGGTGTACCACAATAAGTTAGGGTTTCTTCAGGGAAGAGATTTCAAATCGGCAAAAACAAATAAGTACAACCACCTGAAGAGTCATGAATCGAAACGCAAACCACCAAGCGAATTGGGAAGTCGCATCCCTTTAAGAGGTAGTGAGGATCACTTGCAAGGCTGAAGCGGCACCACTGCATTCATTGCACACGCCCCTCAAATTTAGGTACCCCGTACCCCATAGCGAATCACCGTGCCGTGGCTAGCGGCATCTGGAACCCCAACCCCAGCCCCAGCCCCAGCCGTAGGTTCCAACCGTGACCTTCCCGACGCATGGGCATTCCGTCAATGATTCCACTGCATTTACATATCCTGCGACCGACTTGCACAAGAAAATCAGTCGTCATTTTTGTTCCCTTTCAACGACGAAAAACCGCCCATCAGACCTCTTTACCTTTACGAACCACCGACAAAGCCTCTTCGAAAGCGACTCTGAACGCCCCGACAACACTCGTACCGGTACCCCTTCTGAACACCGACCCGAAACTTTATTGTCACCTGCCAAACCGACCGACATTCGAATTGCCCACGATGTCGAGCTCACTCGAGCGTCAGCAGGCGTCGTTCATGAGCAGCATGTCCGCTGCTTCCTCGAAGCTGGCGGGCACCAAGCGCGCTCTCGCCCCGCCATCGCCGTCGCCCTCGGTCGGCTCCGTCGCCTCGGCCGTCGCTGCCGGCAACGGCACCCCTCGCAAGGCGGCAGACCGCGTCGACACGCCCGCACACAACATCGTGTACTCTCAGCCGGCCGCCACCGGCACCGGCCTCAACATCATCACACAGGTCACATACGCTATCGCCTGGCTGCGCGGCAAAGATGAGCCGCGCACGTACCTGGAAATCCTGGGCCACCTTTCGGGCCTGCACTGGAGCCCGTCGTACCAGGAGGAGTTCGTTGAAGCGATGCGCCGCACGCGCGAGATTCAGTGGATTCCCGACCCGAACTTGAGCGAGCAGACTTGGCAGAGCGGGACGTATCTACACCGGCCCAAGGTGCCCGGCGTCCGGAACAAGACGCAGCTGCTGGCCTACCTACAGAAGAAGACAGACGCGAGCTGTGTGGGTGTGAAGGAGCTCAAGGACGGCTGGCCCGATTGCGAGAAGGCCATCAACGAGCTCGAGGCGGAGCACAAGATTCTGGTGATCCGTGTTAAGAAGGAAGGCTCGCCGCGCTATGTCTGGCTGGATGATCCCAGCTTGTTCCACGAGGTCGATCCGGAGCTAAAGGTCATGTGGCAGAAGGTCGAGGTGCCGGGAACCGATACGATTGTTCAGCGACTCAAAGCCGCATCGCAGAAGCCGGCGAGCGAGGATCCGAGGGACAAGATGACGGCTGCACCGAAGGCGGAGAAGAAGAAGAGGGCGCAGAGGAGGACGGGCAAGGCGACGAATACGCACATGGAGCATTTGCTCAAGGATTACAGCCACATGAAGCGGTAAAGGGGATTTTGCGTCACGTCGTGTGGGTCCCTTGGTTTCTCTACCGGTTTGAGAAGACCTTCAGACGGTCAACGGCAAATGAACAGTTGCGGAATCAGACGTGGTCGTTACGGCTGGCAAGTCGAGGGATCTGGTCGCCTCACGGCTACCTCCCATCATTATTTCGGAAACACATATGGGAACCTTTTTTTTTTTTTTTTTTTTTTTTTTTTTTTTTTTTTTTTCTTCGGCTTTTACATCCATACAACAATCACACGAACAAAGCATTTGGAAATGGCGTTTGAGAGGGAACTTCGCGGGACAATGGGGTTTTTTATACGGTCGCAATCAGAGAGACGGCTACGGGAGTAGGCAAACTCCTACGAAGGGAATCCGCAAAGAGTCATGGTATCCGAGTGGTATAATTAGTGGGTTCATTCGACTGTCTCTGTGGCCTTTTTTTTCCTCTCTTTTTCTTTCTTTCTTCTTTTCTTTTTATAGCAAAACTGGCGCGAAATCATCAGAGGGGACTTTGAGGAACATCAGCAACGAACTCCAGGCGTCTCATCGATGCTTTCAAGTCTTGGTTTCAAGATACGCGAGATACGAACTGGGTTGAGGAGATCAGTTTAACATCATAATTTACACAAACAGCACACCCTTGAACGACCACAACTACTACTCCCGCTTGAAGTCAAATTGCATCGTGCTCAACGTCTGGTCTGTGTTCGTTTATGCACCACTACCCTCTTCACCACCTGGTATTACCTTCATGATCTATAGCCCCTTCAAGCTGGACACTTATTGAAAACTTTGTGGCTGATCGATTCCCTTCTTTCCCACGTCACATCCCGTAATGAATCTCTTCCCAAACACCCCCCTTACTCCTTCCATTCATCCCTCCCCAACTTGACAATCTCATCCTGTTCCAACACCCACCACTTCCCCGGCGCCTTCCCCTCCTCCGCCATTTTCGCCGCCTTGACCGCCGCCCTCGCAATCACCTCCGCCTCCTGCGCAAACCGATCCTGCACGCCCAAGCTAACCCACCTCCCCAATCCCCTTACCAGCCCATACAACAATCCCTGACCCGCATGCTGCGCCTTCTCCCTCTCTCCCAAGATCAAGCCCGGCCTGAGGATGATGCCGTGCTCGAAATCCAGAGACTGAATCGTATCTTCCACTCCGCGCTTCATCTGCGAATAAGGCACCTTGGTGCTCAAAGCGCCCCTAGTCCCCGCGGACGAGATAAAGACAAAGTTCTTGACGCCCGCTTGTTGGGCGGCTTTGGCTAGGTCCACGTTGAGGTCGTGGTCAATCTTCCACTGGTTGGTGATGCCGCCTGCCGCGACGCGAGTGGTTCCCAGAGAGGAGATGACGGTTGTCGGCAAGGGAACCAGGGAGGAGAGGAGGGTAGGCCACGTTGAGGTGGCGGCGTTGACGGTGGGAGAAAGGCGAGAGGAGTTGGTTGGGTTGGCGGGCGCGCGGCGGGAGATGGTTTGGACTTGGGAGGAGGTGGTGGGTGAGGTGAGGAGGGTTGAGAGTATGTGGGAGCCGACGAGGCCGGTTGAGCCGATTATGGCGGTGGAAGTGGGGGCGGAGGTTGACATTTTGATGTGTTGTTTGATGTGCGTGTTATACCAAGTTTCAAAGCTGGAGTCTGTGGATTTGTTGAAATGGTGGTTGTCGGTGTGGTAAGAGAAGGTGAGGAGCTATCGGTATGAGTTGAAAGGGAGCTTAAAGATATTGGAATTCCAGTGGGGTGGGTGTTTATAGTGAAATTCACGCGAGCACAAACGGGAGGAACCGATTTGGCAGGGAAAGGTGGGGAAGACATTCATTCGGGTAACGGTGGGTGCTAGGATAGACTGCCAAAAGATGATGGCTTGACTTGACGCCATCAGTAGAGATTTTGCTCCGAGATTTCACGGAGTCGGCTCAGTTTTCACGTGTAAAGTGTGTGATAGTGTTTGATACTATGAGAAACGGAGAAGCAATTCGAAAACGGTTATTGCAAGGGTATGACTCCAGAAACCATGTGCGGACCTTTATTGGAGCCCAGCTCTCATCAAAGAGAACCCTGATGGACCCTCAAGATCAATGATCGAGCCTCAATTTGCAGCGGCTTCTCACCCCACGTCCTTCATTTGTGACCATTATCGAACAAAGTGTGATGGAAGGATTGAAATAAAATTAGTGTCATACTACAATGAACTGTAGCAATTGCCACCGTTAAGATGAGCTTCGGCAGGAATTGGGAAAATGAAGTCGTCGTACAACGGGAGCTCAATGTTAATGTCGTCATAGAAGCAGGGAACTGAACTTAAGTCATCTCGAGCACAGACCCTAACCCTGAAAACCCCCTGAAGTCCTCCCCCAGTGCCCCAGAAACCGCAAGCCCCACTCTTCCCGCAACTGGAGCGTCGCAAAAAAGAACTTTCCCAACGTCAGGCCTCGACTGAAGGTGGGGGGAAAAAAAAAGTCAACATTTGCCCTCCTGCCGGCTGAAATAAGTTCAGCACTCTCAACTTCACGGTCCTTTACGCTTTCCATATCGCACCTCCGTGGAACACGACTCTCAGTGCACCGGAAGCTTTAACTTGTCTACGTCAAAAAAAGACTATTAAACCGCAATCATGGCTACCCCCACCCCAGGTAAGCTTTGCGACAATGGCCTAGGAAAACGAGAGACAGTGACTAACAAACCTCTCTCCCGCTCCAACAGCAACCTGCCAATCCCAATTCGAACAAGGCGTCGCCATCGCCCTGCATCTCTGGCCCGCTCTCTCCCTCGCCGTGCAGAACAACTGGGGCGGTCCCGACTCGGCCGACAAACGCGACTGGTTCGCCGGCGCCGTCGTCGACCTCTTTCCCGACCTGAACAAAGTGCTCGCTCCTGCGTCCGAAAAGCAACAACAACCCTCGAACACAACAAAAAAGTCCACCGACGACCATGAAGAAGCAACAGAAGAACCCGACCAGCTCGATATCGAGACCGTCCTCCTGCAAGTAATGCTGGACGAGTTTGAGGTCAACGTCGACGACGACTCAGCCTTCGAGGTGGCCGAGCAGATCCTGCGCGTGCGCCTGGGCTGTCTGAAGGGCAAATTCGACGAGGTGGATGCGCTGCGCAGGCGGTTCGAGGGCAAGGGAGGCAACAAGCAGGTGGTGTTCAAGAAGGCGGAGGACCAGGATAACGACACGGATTGGGACACGGATGACGACGAGGAGGTCGACAGTGATGAGGAGATGGGTGAGGCGCCGGCGTTGGTTCCTACCACGCAGCAGCCAAAGGAGAAGGTCGAGCCTGAGGTGGATGAGGATGGGTTCACCAAGGTCGTGGGCAAGAAGAGGAGGTGAATTGGTTTTTTGTTCCTCCAAACGTGAAGGTTGAGAGGGAGGTGGGAAGGGCTGCGAGTGTGACGGGAGGATGATCATATTCCTGGCTCACCCCGGTTCGCTGAACGAAGAAGAGGGCTGGTCAGAAGGAAGAAGCAGAAGGGGGCATGAGGGAAAGATGAAGGAGCAAGCAACATCAACTTGCTCTCTCAGGCTCTGCGCAAAGATACTTGCGGAAACAGGGTCTCGATATTAACGACAACATGCGGGCTCATCATCTTCACATCACTCCGAAACCTTGGACCATAACCAACAAAGTTAAAACGCCAACTCAAGCCAGTATTATCATCGCCCGTAAAACATTACAGTTGTGTCCAGCACATGTACGCGCCCACCAATTCGCCCATGAACATCATTCCCCGAATCCTTACTCCCAGTCTTCCTCATCGCTGCTCTCGTCGGCCTTGCGACCCTCATTAGGACTGTTGGGCGCACGACTGGGAACGCCAGAAGCAGCGCCAACGACGTCATAGCTCGCTTCGCTGTCGGCCTGTGACTTCTCGTCGTTGGACTTTCTAGGTTCCGAGGGCTTTAGGCTGCCCTGAGCAGCCGCGCCAGTTGATGGTGGGTTGATGGTAGTGGAGGATTCGGTGGAAGAAGACCGCGCGGCCGGCTTCTTGGTGGTAGCTGGTGCAGCCTTGTCGTCCCCGGATGTCACCTCCTCCGAAGTGTTTTCCTCGTCAGAGGAGTCCTCATCCCACCCAACTTCCTCTTCAGCGGAAGCAGCTATTATAGGGTCACTTGTCAGCATATCCTTCGTAGACAGTGGGGTTAAACCAAACCCCTCGCAAAATCCATTCAAATCCATTCAACAAGGAATTGACTTTCTTACCCTTGAGCAAATCTCTCCTCCTTGCCTCAGCCGTCTCGATGCCGTGCCTCAAGAAGTAATATCTCTTCCAGAAATCGGCATACGGCACCTGATCAGGCACCAGCTTCTCCATCGTTGCCCTAAGCTCCGGGTACTTATCCAGATCCGCCGCGATCGCCTCCGTTTTCTGATCGACATCAAACTCCTTGACCCAAGCGTCGTACTCCTGTCCGCTCGCGGGCTCCTTGCTGAAGCTCTCAAGGGTGGTGTGGATGACGTGTAACTGCGCGTCAAACCGCGACGTGTGAATTACCCGCTTGCCCTGCGCGTCCTTGCTCTCAAAAAGCACGCTGTTGTTATTCCTGCCCTCCTCGGTCCGCTTGGCTGCTTCCTCTTCGCTCGGAGGCGCGATCTTGATGGCGTCCTTGAGAAAGTCGCGCAGGTTGGAGCCGAAGCGAAGGAGGGCCTCGTCGGCGGCATCCTCGGCCTTTTGGAGGTCCTTGAGACGCTTGGCGGCCTCGCCACGCAGCCGGGCAAGGACAGAGTCATCTTCCTGCTGCTGCTTCAAGGAAGCCTCGGCAGACAGGTCCTTGACGGTTGTGGGGGTCGTTTGTTCGTCTTTGGAAGCGGAAAAGGATGAAGATGAAGAGGATGAAGCTGCCGTGACTCCAGACGACGCGGCGGCGGCGGCCGAGGCAGCTGCCTGGGTGGTGGCTATGGAGAGGGCGCGGGTACGGCTGATGAGGGTGGTGCGCAGGTCGCTGAAACCGCGCGTGGCATCTTGACTGACGGCTGACAGTTCCTTTTCGGCTTCGCGGTAGACGGATTCACCCTGGATAGTGTTGGGAAGAGACAAGAGTTAGTTGGTTAAGTGCGGTGGGGTCGCGCTACTTGAAGCCTTTGTTGGTGACGTGAAAGGCGGTGACCACATACCTGCTTCACAACATTACCGAGGAAACCACCAATTCTGGCACCCCAGGGACTGTTCGAAAAGGCTCGGTAGGCGTCTTGAAACTCGGCGTTCAACGTCGGAGGTTGAGCAGGCGTCTTGTCCGATGACGAGGAGGCCTGGTTGTCATCGGTCAAAGTCTCCTCCTGGATGTGGTCATATGCGACATCCATGGCTACTGTAGGGATTTGGTCGACAGCGTCTGCTATGAACTCGGTGGTACTTGGGTACTGTACTGCTCGAAAAAGGATGAAACGCGTGTATGGTGTGGATTAGATACTGCCAAGAATCCCGACTTTACGCCGTTGGCTGTGATCACGGTTGCAGCCGAAGTGTTGATTGTTTGGCGCGACAGTCGAGGATGTCAGTTTTCTGGTGGATCGATCCATGGGAGGCTGATCGATCCCTTCCCTTGAATCCCCGCCGCAGCTGTAGCGCTGCCGTCTTGCCCGTGTCATGGTGCCGCATCCACTGTGGGGAAATGAATGCAAGCACTGCAGCGAGCAGCAACCACCGCCGGGGGACATTCCTGGCAGCACGGGCCTTTTTCCATGGGTACAAAAGAAAATTCAAGACTCGACACCCGACTTTTAAACGGTAACCACATGAATCGGTGACATTGTTCTTCGAGATTCCCCGCCGTGAAAGCCGAAGCTGGCTACGGGACAAGCTCATGTGTGTCCAACATGGCCTGACTTTGTGTCCAGCCTCCAGGCTGGCCAGGTAATCCAAACCGGATCGCAAGCTGTCCGTAAGCTGAGAATTGTATATTTTGTAGCCACTCGGGAGATAAGCCATGCGGGCTTCCTATCGACGAGGCGTCTGAACTGCCGACAGGAAGACGGAAACAACGTGGGATCTTCAATGGGGAGACGGGGTCTCGAACTCTCAGTGGCAAACCAGGATGCCAAACTCGAGCTAGTTGCGACGGTGATAATCACAACACCGAGTGCGCCCATTTTTTCAAACAAATGCCCCTGGCCGTTGTTTACTTGGGCACAGTACACGTGTAGTGTACACTATTTGTGGTTAAGGTTTGTAAAACTGAAGTTGATGCGGAGATACATAGAGGAGAGTGCATCTCTTTCACCGTCGAACAAAGGCCACTTTTTATCCACTCCGGTGTTTTGCCTGCAAGAATCTCCACTTGGGGTACCCGCGGAAACTGATGTATTTCCACGTCGATGAAAAGTGGACAGGCTGCACTCGAGAGGCTCCGACTAGAACTACATAGTACATACACGTGTAGGTCAAACAAAAAGTGGCTTTTTTGTACGGTTAAAGAGATTGACACTGGCAGCTCTTGCTTGAAGCCCAATCACGTCAAATCGGTCAATGTGATCCTCTACGTAGTAGGACGCAATGAAACAAGAGAAATCCCTTTTAGGAAAAGATACCGACATACCTCTTGCGGAAACGGTCCGACTGATTGAGATTGTCTGCATCTGATATAACTCACTGTCAGTCCTTTTGTTGAATGAATCGACTCGGGGTGTCATCGGCATGTCAAGGTGTGCTGACAGTTGCCAGAGCCGGTCACGGCGCACCCGACCCGACCGTCCAGGAACGATCCAGACGTTCCCTTCGACTGATTTTCGCTGACAAATTGACTTTGGACTGAAACCCCTCCACGCTCCACTTGGACACCCCCAAGCGTCCATGCGCCCAATTGTGCCCCGTGTAGCCCGCATTCTACGAGTTTGGCCCTGTAACCAACGAAGAGCGTCCACTCTTTTCGCCCGCTTTTGGACGGTCTCGCTTAGTCTCGTCCCCTCCATCGCCAAAGACCGCCCAAGAGTCCTTCCCTTCTCAGATCTGAATCGTACGTATCAGCGAACCAACGAAACACAAACCTGCTCTGCAGCCTGTGCCGTCGCCTCTCCAATCGCAGAAAAGGAGCCCCCCGCGGGATCATACGTGTACCTTATTCCTGAACCCAATTGCTGACAGGATTCAGAAAGGCTGAGTGCCAGGTGAGTCAGGTGTCAGGCCGATAGGTTTGCCCATCAATCGATTCAAGTCAGCGTCCGCCGCCATCCCACCCACTCGGCTCGGTCAACGGTTAGTTCTGTTCCAGCAGGCAGTTAACCTTTCCGGCTCACAACTCGGGCACTCGCAATTTTCTCCCCCCTTCTCTACACCTTCTGCCACAACTTTGCCCTGGTACCTCTACCTGTTCCGTGCAAATACATCCGCGTCTTTTGTAACTTGCCACTCGGACCAAGTCCCCTCTCTTCTGTCTCAGTTCAAGTTATCCTACTGCCTTCCTCTCGTTTTGACCCCCGGCAAACCCCATCACCTCTCACCGAACGTCTTCCTTGGGAGAAGACTTGAGTCTCGAAAACTAGAGAAGCGGGAGCGAACTGGACAGGAACTGGAACTGCCCGGTTTGGTATTCCGTCAACGCTCAACGAGTTTTCTGCCTTTCAAGCTGCCAGTTGCGTGGCCGCTGGCTCGTCCCCGTCTGATCCAAAGTCAGTCTACGGTGCTGTCGAAACGTCATCGTCTCCGCAAGAGATTTTCTATCGTCACCAGTACTAGCATCTGATCTACCCCGACATCAGTTTTCGACTAGGACATACGTACATCTTGGGCCCGGTACCCCGGATTTCTCCGCTAAAACACATTGCCATTGGACCCGCGGTCTTGATACTCGACAATTGCCGCCTGTGCGGCTCCGACCGCTAGGAGCGATCAGATCACGAGAGTGAATTCATCCCATCCTTTCAACATCCAAGGTCTTTCCTCGATTCAACCGACTGCTCTACCTCTCAGTCACCATCTCCAACACAGGACAACCAAAAATGACGTCGACTCAGAACCCTCTTCACAATCTCGTCCTCACCCCGCAGCAACAAAGCCTGTTGTTTGCCGCCCTCAATTCCAACAAGCCCATCAACACACAAGCCGACCTCTCTGGTCTATCCGCAATGTACAACGGAACGTCTGCCCAAGGACTCGACCCTATGGGTTTCCAGCACACCCCGAGTTTCGGTTACGACTACGGCCTTGATGGACAACATGATCCCAACTTCGATTTCAACTTCGACACTGGTGATCAATCCCACATGACGGACGATCGGTCCAATGCTCCAAGTGATTCCAAGTCGGGCTCCGCCGATGTGGAGTCCCCCGACAAGCGCAGTCATCCGGATGACGACGAGGAGGAGAATAGCGAACCAAAGAGGAGAGAGGGCGAGGGAAAAGTTGCCAAAAAGCCCGGCAGGAAGCCTCTTACCACTGAGCCCAGCTCGGTAAGCCTGCCTCGGTCGATTGATCCTTTCAAGTCTCAGTAAGGATTGACTACTAACGTGACAACAAACAGAAACGCAAGGCCCAGAATCGAGCAGCTCAACGAGCGTTCAGAGAACGCAAAGAAAAGCACTTGAAGGACCTTGAAACCAAGGTCGAGGAGTTGAAGAAGATCTCCGAGACTGCCAACCATGAGAACGAAATTCTTCGCAAGAAAATGGAGAAGATGAGTAACGAACTGAACGAGTACAAGAAGCGTCTATCGTTGATGACAGCTCGACCCCCGATGGTATCACCTCGGGCTATGCCGTTCGGCAACTCCTTTGTCAACAACCTCAATGATGTCAACTTCCAGTTTGAATTCCCCAAGTTTGGCGGTCCTCTTCCTGGACCACAATCGGCAAATCAGACCAAGAAGGGAACCCCTGTGTCGCCCCCTTTGTCTTCAACAGGTCGGCTGGAGCAACCCACGAATGGCGTCAGCACCGGTACTACACCCAATTACGGCCAAATAGGCCTTGATACACAAACCAAGGAAGACTTGGCCCATTACTCGGCCGATCTCTTCACACCTCAGTCCGCAAGAGGTGAGGGAGCGAACTTTTCGACCAGGGGAACAGATTCTCAGTACCATGCGGGGGCCGGCACATCAACGAGTTCCCCATCCTCTTGCGCTTCGAACATGGGTGGCGCTAGCTCGTCGTGTGGCACCTCCCCAGAGCCTCTAACTCATTCACCCGTCGGATTGAAGTCAGTAGATACGATGGCCACAATCGGAGAAGAGCAACCAGGCGTCATTGGTTCAGGGCAGCCAGGTAAGCATTCACCCGTCTTCAATGTTCGCTCTGATTTTATAGGCCAGAACTTACCAACACTTTCTAGACTTTAATACTTTTGGTGTTGACAACACTCTCAACTGGTTGCCTCAAGACAATTTCCAGTTTGATCCGCAGCTCTTCGGAGATTACCGAGAGCCTCAGAACAACGTCCTCAACAATGGATTTGACGATTGGTTGACCAATGATGCATTCGATGCGGATTTCCTGGCACCGTATAATCTGCCGCCAACAGCTCCAGGACTGCTGCCACCACAACCCGAAGCAGAATCACAACCACCGAAGAAGGATCTCATCGCTCAGATCGATGAGGTCAACGCATCGGATGATGGAGTCAGAGAGCAACTTGATTGCAACAAGATCTGGTATGACCAAACCGAGAGAGGCCTCGAAGATGCAACTTTTATTAACAAGTTCAACAGGGACAAATTGCGCAGTTGCTCCAGTGTACAAAACCAAGAGATTGACATGGATGCCTTGTGCTCCGATCTGCAGAAGAAAGCAAAGTGCTCTGGCTATGGTGCCGTGGTTGATGAGAAGGAGTTCAAGAGTGTTCTGAAAAAGCACCTAAGTCCCGAAGCAATGGCGAGGTGCGAGAAGGACTGTGAAGAGGAAAAGGCACGAAAAGCAGCTGCCACACTGTAGGAGTGGCTCGCTTACATGTTCATGACTGCATAGAGAAAGTTTTCTCTTGATTCAGAACTACGTCTTCACGAGTACACTTGTCTCGATTTCTCAGGTGGCATCCCACGATGGATGGCATTTTCTTCTTCCTCGCAAGACGGGTTTTATTCGGATCTCAAAGTTGGACAAATCTTGGACGGTCCTGCCTCCATTGGCTCGTTTACAATCAAGCGTGGGAACACATCACGAATACTGGCTAGGAGTTTATAAGATACCGGAGCATTTACAGCGTTGGGAAAACGGGCTTCTAGGTCCTGGACGGGTCGAGAGCGTGGCCGGTTACTCTTTCCTTCTGGTAGCATGGGTCACTCGGTTGACGCACTCAATGAGAATACTCATGCTGGTATGCGAATGGGCAGTCCATTGTTGGATGTCATAAAACCACGGAGGTGCGCTTGGACTTCACAGTAACTAGTAGGATAGTGAGGGGACCCGGAGTTTTGTCGGCTTTTTGATCTTTACCAAGGGTCGGTCTCGAATTGGACCACATGACTTTGAGTCAACGGGTTTAGGATTGCATACGGCTTTGAGCGGAATGGTATCTATCTCATTGTATCCCAATAAACCACGCTTTTCCTTGCTAATGAAGCATGATATCAGTAGTCAAGCTAGAAATAATTAGTGTTCAGTCCATCATGTCGTGGTCCCGTGCTTCCGCCTGTCTCTTTTTTTCTTTTTAGATATTCACGTTTCCCCTGGTCGTCACTTAGACACCATCCTTAGTCTGCTCTTGACCTTCCTCCACCTCCACGCAAACTCACCCCATCATCACTGTAGCCACAACCACGACCAAAACCACCATCACTCACTCCCCCCCTTACTCGCTACCTACCCTTTTGCTACTCATCACCACCACCACCAACAAGTAACCCATTAAACCCCCCGACCAACCCCATCGCCGTCCCTGCTGCAATTCCGCCCACCGCCACCATCTGCACTCTCGCTCTCACTCCCTTCCGCACCACCCTCTGTCCGTTCCACTGCTCCAACACTAAACAAGTCTTGAAGTACTCAAACAAGAACAAGGCTACTGAAATGGTGGCGATGGAGATGTGAAAGGCTATCTGTAACCCCTCTACTCTCCGTGATTCCGGGGTGTTTTGTTTCGGGTGTTGTCGTTGACTTTGGTCTGCCGGGTCTTGGTTTGGTACAGATTCGGATGGCTATCCAAGCTGCGTTTTTTACAACATAACCATTTCCTGCGGAGTGGTGGTCTGCTGAGAGCTACTTCAAAATATGGCATGATTACGTGTAAGCAACAATCTCGTGATCCCTTTAGACAAGCGAGGCTTTCAGGCTTTGTACTAGGAATGGGCGAGTTGTGAGGATATGAATTGATAGTTTCAAGCTTGGAAAGAGGCAATCACCGTTTTACGTAGGCATATCAGAAAACGACAGTACACGCAATAATACATTAGTGATGGTCATGAGTAGTGGTCGAGGCCAAATTCAAACAATGTTACAGAGGGGAGCCTTTCGGACACCTGTTAACCTTCCCAAAACTATATCTTACAAGTTACCCTCCTTCTCCAATTCCCTTGGTCCCAGATCCTCTTCTTAATTTCCTACTCTATCAGGCTCCAGATTCTTTCGGAGCCATTCCACTTCCCTCCTGTTCCTTGGCATTCACACCTAAACCAGCAATCGGAGTTCCCCTCTCCCCGAGAGAATACTCCAAAGCCCAATGGAGTCGTCAAGGATAAGAGGAATCAAACAAGAACGGGCAGAAAAAAAAAGCCAGTTCCCTTCAAGCCACCCTCGTGAGCTCAATCAAGCACCTCCGTCCCGCTTGGCATACTCCTCCTCCATCCTCTCCTCATAAAGCCGATCAGCCTCCAACTCAGCCTCGGTCTTGGGCCTGCTGCTGCCTGCTCCGGTGTTCACTCCAGCGCCGGTGGGCCTTTGGTGGGAGGAAGACTCATGCTCATGCTCCTCCTTGTCCTGAGCGGGCATGGAGGCGTTGGAGATGTCGGAGGTGGTGGTGTCGGGAGAAGACATTTTGGTGATGTGTTTGGGGTTGGAGAGTAGGGAAAACAGGGCGAAAATGTTGAGGGTGTTTCAAGTTTTGGATGGGTTGTTGTTAACTCAATCGACTCGAGTGTCAGAGGTAGAGAAACTGGTTGTGCTTGATGTAGTGATGATTTGGCCGGGTGGGGTGATTTAAAGTGGCTCCTGATTTGGTCGGAACTAATAGATAGACTCGAAGGAAATAGGCGCTTGTTGTTTGATGATGAAGACAGGAAGCGAATCAAATATACCCGTTGGAGAGGGGGTCAGGTTAAGAAAGACAAACGGAAGGGCTGCCTCATGTGGCAAAGGTGGCGAGCATTGTGGCTACGCAATACCTGTATTGTACGCGTCTTTTGGGGGGGTAATTGGGGTAACATCTCGCCGTATATACGACGGAATTTGTTCCTGCTTCTTCATGATTTGATGTCCGCTACAACCCGGCCGAACTCCATAGTTTAATGCTCGACCCTTGGCATTTCCACTGGGCGCTTAGATAAGGTAGTGACGGGCTTTGTTCTGTTGATAGAAAGTTACTTTAAGTGGAAGATGTTGATAGTGGGGTTCACCTGGAGATCCCGGTAAGTGATGAGTATACCACTAACACTTGCCCGCTACGAGACATCTCGGAAGACGTTGGTCAGCATGTCTAACAAGTGTTATGAAAAACAAGTCGCAGAACATTTCATTCAGAACTATCATAAGATAACATGCATGCATGATCCATATGGTCAGCAAGATCCAAGCCCCTTTTATGTGTATAATGTCAACACCGATCGCCGACGCCCTAGTCACACTGCTGAGCCTTATGCCCAACAACCACACACGATAATCTACCAACCCGACATTCATAGTTTTGCGAGATCTCCCTCCGTGGCCGGCACGCATTTTAACCCTATCCTCCTCCTCATCTTTTCTCTAATCTCCTCCTCCGTATAGGGGCTTAGCGTCATAGGATCCAGCTCCTTCTCCTCCAGCGTCCCCGACTTGATCGTGGTAAACGTGCTCCTCATCGCGCTCCGCTTATCATCAGCACCATCAACCCCTCCCTCAGAGGCAGTCGAATTCGTGACCCTAGCGATAAACCTCGACCACCCCTCCATACACCTATCCGCCTCCTTCAAGTTTTTCAACACCATGGCAAAGCAATGCGGCATGCCCTCATACTCCTCAAACGTCACAGAAACCCCCTCGGCATGAAACCTTGCTGCCGTGAACTTGTCCTCGTCCGACAACATCTCCCAACCCGTACAAATGTATGTTGGCGGCGCACCACGCCAGCTGGGTGCCAGCAAAAGCGACACAAGCGGGTGCATGATGTAATCATCGGCGACGTACATGCTCATGCGCGGCGGATTCGCGGGCCAGGCCGAGCACGGGGCGCGCAACTTCTCGGCCTTGTCCTGCGCCTCGAGGCCGGGGAGGTAGTCGAAGGCACCGTTGGTGACACACGACGGCGAGCTGTGGGTGATTTCTATCCAGGGCGAGTTGACGGCGACGCCGGCGGGTAGGGGAATGGAGCGCTCATGGCCGAGCCAGAACACGGTGGTGCCGGAGCGTTGCAGTTGCATGATGAGCTGGAGGAGTGCGAGCGAGAGATTGCCGCCTGCGCTGTCGCCGGCGATGACAATGTGCTCTGGCTTCACGGGCTCGTGGAACGCCTCGGGCGGTGGGTAAAGCAGGCCGAGGTACGAGACTAGTGCGTCCATGACCGCGGCCGGGAACGGGTTCTGTGGCGCCAGCCGGTAACGCACCGAGTAACACCTACCGCCGGTCCGCTTGGCTAGCTCTCTGCACGTAGGCCTGTGTGTGGCCGGGTCCATGAGCCAGTAGGCGCCGCCGTGAAAGTAGAGTATCGTGGTTGGGGCTTTTACGTCTTTCATCATCTCGTCATACTTCTCCCGTTCTGGGATATCGGGCAGCTTCGCATCTTTGGGCACACCCGGCCTGTGTGCTGTCCACTCCGCCTCCACGGGAAGAACGTCTGGTACTTGGATCCTGGCCGTCTTCGGTTGGTCACGGTCTTGAAGCCCGTCGATGACCTTGCTCAAGGTGTCATGGATGGCGCGCGCATCCTCCTCCGTGGGGATGGGCAGAGTGTACTTGCTGACCCATATTGTGCCCCGGATCGGGGGTACTCTTGAGAGCATCTTTTGGGTAAAAGTGATGCTCCTAGGCTTGGGCACGTCCATGAACGAGCGGAGCATGGCAATGGTGAGTTCCGTCCGCAAATCCTGGTATTTTGATGCCGGCGAGGCCTGCAACATGTGAAGTAGAGCCACCCGGGCCATCAGCGGGAGCTTGGATACCAGCTGGAGGAAGAGAGCGGTCTTGTCCATGGCGGCGGGCTTCTTGGTGGGTTTAGAGGTGACGGATGGGTTTGGGTGTTGGGGTCATGATATCAGATCAACAGGGGCGAGTCCTCTTCTTATATTAGACCCCGACATCCATGATAACAATGGGGTATTTCGGGTATTTAGGGATTCCGTTTGTGTTGTAACAGCCTGCAGGCGCTCCTTGTCTAATCGTCTTCTTGAGCGCTTCCACGTGGAGATTAGGGAAGGCTTGCGAGCGCAAATATCTCAGGGAATCTGTGGGGTGGTTATATCATTTATGATGATATTTGGCAGGTGGTAAGAAAAGGAGCGAGTTGCGAGAGCTAAGCGAAGAACAGCAATGCAGAAACAGTACGTCTCCAGAGCGACGGACTTGACTTGCATCCCGTTTGTGGCCAATATCTCCTTCGGGTTTGGGCGAGACGAAGGCGCTACGAGAACATTGGCACAGGAAGAAAGGGATGATGGGTGGGGTCAATGTTTGGTTCCAAGCAAGCATTGCCCGAACAAGTAATAGCTACGAGGACTATTAAGATGCGATTGGAAAACATGGCACGAAGGTGTATGTACCTTGAACCCGGGATGTCTTAACAGAGAACATTCCGCATCCGACCTCTCGGGTACGCATGTGCTACGCTGAGGTGATGATTTGGCAGCGACATCAATACCTACACTACAATGTATCCTTTAGTTCTCTACAGAGGCCGCGGTGCTCTGACTGTACCGATGTGGATGGAAGTCCTGAATAGAGGGCGACATAACCAAAGCCAGTTGTCTCCCTCTTTGACCGTTTGCGCATCTCTATTCGATCATGGCATTTTTTTTGCCCCTCCCCTCCAGTTTTTTTGGTGGCTGAGGACAATAACCAAAAATTTGTCTCGGCAATGCCATAGCAGCGGTGAAAATAGTGAGGCAGAAATACTGGGCGGTCAGGTGTACGGGATGTCTCAGATCAATTCACGGCCTAACCTTGAAAGATGTGAAAATGGTAGCTTTTGATATCATGCTCTAGAAAAATGCCATGCAACATCCGCGCTAAAAGACCTTGCAGAAATACAAACGCGCTATCATGAAAAGGGGACTGAAAGTCTGAATCAGGTTGTCCCCTGCTTCACAAGTGCTCCTGTGTATTGTCCTGCTTGAACAACGTACAGGAGCTTGATTACTATACAGAAAACCAGAGGGAATCGCTCACTTTGGCCTTATGTTCATGCCGATTAATGTATCCAGGTTTCCCAGTTCCGGTGCTATTTTATAATTGTGCCTGACTGGAGAACAACTTTTTAAGCGGCTTCGTCGCCTCCATTGCTGCTAGAGCCATCGTTTGTAGTACCGTTCGTCACTCCGACCGTCGAAGCCGACGCGGTTTTGTTGGCCATGGCCAACTGCCAAGCAGGGATAGTCGGCTTGCCTGCGGAGGCGATTCCGCTGCTGAAAGGCGAAGGCTTGGGGGCGGCAGCTTGAACGAACTGCTGTTCCTGCTGGTATCTGGATTGCTCATCCTGCGCACTCGCGGCTCTGCTGTTTGAGTCTCCATTCTCACCGCCGAGGGCTGGCGTAGCAGGGGCTGAAGAAGGAGTGGTGTTTCCGTTAGTATTGGGGCGAAGGTAGTTGTTGACGCTCGTCGAGGTGGCGGTTGGGTTCATGCGTTGCGAGATGAGGGTCTTGAGGCTCTTGAGTTCGGTGTTGAGTTCGCGCAGCCTGTTGTCGGTCAAGTCCTTCTGGTTGTTGAGTGCCCTTGGAATCGAATCCCTGAGATTTTGCACATCGTCCCGTACTCTCTGTGCTTCGTCATCCCTGCGTCTGTTGGCTGCCTTGAGGTCCCTGACGACAGTCTCCAGCTCCTCGAGGGCATTGTCGAGCCTCTCTGTTCTTTCCTGCTCCGAGGCCTTGAGGATTTCGGTATCCTTGGCCAGCTGCTCGACCAGTTGGAATGTTTTGTCGAACTGTTCGTCAATGGACTTCTTGTCCTGCTCGAGACGCTCCGGCGTGGGAGGAGCAATCAAAGGATACACATAGCGCTGCCGAACGGTTAGTATCTCCCTTGATGTACATTGCACGGTGTTCGGCGGCCTACCTTGCCGAGATTGTATAGGCCGTACGACGCGCCTCCGACTACGGTCGCCAAAATGAACAGGTCCCTCCAGTCCCGCCTGGCACCGTCGGTATTCGACTGCGGCCATGCGTATGGGGGATAGCCATAGTACTGCGGAGAGCCACCCTGTGCTGCGACGGGTCCGGCCGACTGCGCATAGGCGGGCGACTGGGCGTACGGTGGCGGTGGACCTCCTGATTCGGCGCGGGCGAGAGCAGCGCTGACTTCTTCCTGGGTGAGGTTCTTTGCTTGGAGAAAGGCTATCCGCTTCTCGATTGGCGAGGCGGCGACACTGGGGTCTTGAAGAACTGTGGTGTTGTTGTCGGGTAAGATTCTGGCCTGGTAATGTAGAGGAGGTAGCAGGGGACAAGACAGGGGCAGAACATACACTGCGCCGCCGAAGCGACCAGGTCCTCGCGGATGGCCATGACTGATGTTGTTTGTTGGAAATGCGGCAGATGGCGTTCCCTTGTTGAGACTGGGCAGACGAGAGGAGAGAAGCAGACAGCTGGAACAATCGCGACGCGATGGCAGACGGCGACGGTTGATGGAATGATTAGGTAGGTATCAAAGGACGGGAGGCTGAATGCGATAGATGAAGTGGAAACGAACTGACTGGCAGCGGTTCGGGGGATGGCTGGACCGCTGGATGGAGTCCTGAAGCCGAGGTTCACGGGACCGGGGCCCTGATTGTGCACTAGACGTAGACTGCTAATAGCACCTTAACAGCTTCGCATCACTTTCACTCCCAGTACGCTCCTGGAAGAATGCTGATCAGATAAATCACTATCTCCCCCCCTGATTCTCCTTTTCCTCCGACAGGCCTACCTAGAGCGCAGCTGAACATCCATTGCAGTGACTGAGGTGGCTCAGTGACGGGAGTGCAGAGCTGAAAAAGCACTGACCTGAAGAACCGCGAACCAAGGGAACACTCACCCTCAAGGTCGCTTTTGGATCCACTCATTCACCTCCCGTCCCGATGCTTGGGGACGGGAACTGGCCTGAGTGCACTTGGCACTGAGGTGTTCAGCCCAATGATTTCCACAGCCCCACCCACGTCGCCTTTCTTTTGTTTACTCTTCCTGACGGAGCAACCTCCCCCACCATCCGCAGAAGTCGACAACCTAGTCCCGTCTACACTACGGTGTCTTAATCTACGACTACCTACCTACTTACCTATGCTGGCCTGCATTAGGTTGCTGGCCGTACACGTACTTTTATCGCTACGACACCACGAAATCCGCGACTGCGGTCATGCATTGATTTCTGACAGAGCCGCGAACACGTACCCACATTAACTCGAGCGCATACCTTAGCTCTACAAAGCTATCCGAAATAATCACCATCACGAGAATTATCGCCGACATCAATCCGACAGAGTTCCACGTAGTGTAGTGCTCTTTTGTTCGTTTGCTTATATATTATCACGGAAACCACGCGACCAGGACGGCAAACGGGAGGCGCATATTGACGAGGCCTTTGCCGTCATGTCGCAAGACAGCAACGCAGGCCTTTGGAGTGTCCGACGGCCAAGGGAGGTGCGACTCCCCCCCGTGACTTCTTCGCGGCGTGTTTCCTCGGTCGAAACCTCTCCCCATCCGACGCGACCATGCACGATATTGACTCTGCTCTCTCTGTAGACTCTCCATGGCATCAATCTCACCTCGGGCATTCCGGCACCACCCTCCACACTCAAGCGACAAAGCATCATCGGCACAATAGGGACGGGCCATGGCCGCTCTCTGTCGGGGAGGCAATCTCTGGCCCTCCCGCGACCGAGCCAACCTCTGTTCCAGCGATCCTCCGACATTGGCCTGGGCTCGGTAAAGCGCGCGTCGGTTCATAACATGAACACGTCGCAGTTCAAGCCCTATGGCACCCCAGGCAGTTCCGGTATCCCTCGATCATCGCAAGAACTCGACCGGCGAAGCAGCGTCTACCGCCCGAGCGCACGACCGTCGGCCGTCGGCGGAGGTCCCTTAGCTGGTGGGCATATGAGCTTCTTCCAGCAAGCGCCCCAGCCCGCCGGCGTGCCTCGCGATCCGCGCCCCCTCAAGGACCGTCAATTCCAAAATCGCATTGGCCAGGAGTTGCTCGAGTACCTCGCCAAGAACAATTTCGAGATGGAGATGAACCACAAGCTGTCCGACAACTTCACAAAGTCGCCGACACAGAAGGACTTCAACTACTTGTTTCAATGGCTTTACCACAGGATAGACCCGAGTTACCGGTTTCAGAAGAATATCGACCAGGAGGTACCACCATTACTCAAACAACTGCGATACCCATACGAGAAGAGCATCACCAAGAGCCAAATCGCCGCGGTCGGAGGTCAGAATTGGAGCACGTTCTTGGGATTACTGCACTGGATGATGCAGTTGGCACAGATGCTCGAAGGATACGCCCGACACCAGTACGACGACGCCTGTATGGAAGCTGGGGTCGACATTGCGGGCGACCAGATCATCTTTGATTTCCTCACCAGCGCATACCAGGATTGGCTCAATATGGATGACGAAGCAGGGGATGAAGACGTGGAGAGGGCACTACAGCCGCATGTGCAGGGGATGGCGGAGGCTTTTGAACGGTCAAACGCAAAGTACATCCAAGAACTGGAGATTCTCGAAGGGGAAAACGTCCGCCTGCTAAAGGAGATTCAGGAGCTCGAAAAGTCGACACCCGACCCGGCCATCTTGGACAACCACTTTAAGATTATGGAGGAGGACAAGATCAAGTTTGAAGAGTACAACACCCTAGCCATGCAGCGGACAGAAAAGTACGAAAACCGTATCCAGGTTCTCCGGGAGGAGCTGGGCAAGTTGCACGTGGAGCTGAAGGAGGCCGAGGAGGAGCGGCGACAAATGCAAAAGGCGGTGGACGACCAGGGGATCAGCATGCAGGATATTGACCGCATGACCTCAGAGCGGGAACGTCTTCAAAGGAGCATCGAGTCCGCTTCCCAGAGGCTCGAAGACGTCAAAAAAAAGGTCGCCGAGCGCGAGATGGAGGCGAGCCAGCGTCTGGACGAGCTCGAGCGGCTGGTTGAAAAGTACAACACGGTCGCCTACCAGATCGGACTGATCCCAGCCACGGCAGTCAATGCTAAGGGGAAGAATCTTGAACTGCAGGTAACTGTAAACGAGGGAACGCCCAACTTTGCTTCATCCATGCAAGGTGTATTGGGGCCAAACGGGCAGCCACTGGGCGGCGTGGAGAATGAGAGGTTGCTGGCCGACTCCACGACGGGATACCAGCCTGCGCATATCCTGAATCTGGATCTTCGAGGCCAAGTTAAGAACACCTTCCTGGCACTCAGGAAGGAGGTCTCGGAGAGGAGAAAGGTAGCTATGGATGTCATGATGGAAGACCATGACTTGCTCGATCGCGCTAAGGAGGCGATCGAAGATAAGCGTAATGAGGTCGAAGCTCTCGGGCATCGGGTGCGGGCGGCAGAGGAGGAGTATGAGAAGACTAAAGAGGTGATTGATGGCCGCGTGTCCTACGTGCTCGGTATCACTCATGCTAACAATGAGTCTAGGTCACCAACGCCCAGAAAATGGCTTCAGATGCACAGATTGAGAAGATGGAGAAAGAGCTCGCCAAGATGCGAGCACAATTGTCCGAGTCTGTGCAGCTTATGGAGCAGAGGGAAATGAATACCAATATTGAGTAGGTTTGCCATGACTCTTTCAGGAATAAAACCAGCTGTGCTGACAAGTGGACAATAGGTATGAGCAACTCACGCTCCGAGCCAACGCACTTCGCGAAGAGCTCCACACGGAGACCATGCGCATGCTCAACGATGTCATCAAGTTCAAGATGCACGTCCAGCGAAGCCTGGAGGAGTACGAGACTTTTGTAGCAGACGAGCTCGAACAGGAGTTGGGGATTGACGACCAGGAGATGGAGGATGAAGATACCCCGATGGCCGATGTCTGAGTCGACGAAACGAAAACAAAAACCAAGCTGTTTCTTTTCAACTGTTCATATTCAAAATGTTTATGTTGGATTGGATTGGATTGGATTGGATTGGAAGATGAGAAACATTTCTGGAAAAGTATCGATTGTATGGGGCTATTACTGTCGAGTTATTATCAGCATTGCTTGCTGGACACGAGCTGGATTCCGGATACCTTTGGGTGAGCCAGGCGTTGGAATTGAGGTGCTTGTTATGAGTAATGCCACTTCATTGCTGTGGATGAGCTTTGTGTGAGCTTCTGCGTGATTGCCCATGTAGCAGAGACGTTGAAAGCTTGGAGGGCATCCCCATCATGCTATAGGCGCTCGAGTTAAAGAAGTATCCAAGACTGAACGACGTCGAGGTCTCACAAGAATACTATGCTACATATACGGGAACCCCCTAACTGGACCAGGGGGCTGATTTAAGCTCACAGCTTGGCAGCCCCACTGATGATGCGGCCCGAAGCTACATACAGTGCCCCACTAACCACGAGCTTCGACTTCCCCAGACCGGACGGCGACCCAGGAAGCTGGAAACTTTCACATCTCACCTCACACAGATCACCACTATCAACCCTCGAACCCATTCTTAACTTTCTCGCCATCCGCCTTATCGCCGCTGCGCTTCTTCTGTCTGAGTCGTCGTATCTGACGATCCGTCATCATCACCAATCCAAAGTATCATCTACAACATATCAACACCCAATCAACCTCCACCTACCAAAACAAGTAGGGCCAACCTCAACCGGTGGTCCTCAACTTAACCCCCCCAAAATTCAAATCCAATAATGTCAACAACACCTCCCGCCCCCTCAGACTCCGGCACCCCCAACAACAGCAACCCAAAGACAACAGCAGGCACTCTCCTCCCCAACGACACCTTCCCCTTCCCGCGCGAATTCTTCTTCCCCCCCTTCTTCACCCGCCAAACCAACCTGACGACCCACCACGCCCAACTCACCAAATGGTCCTCCCTCTTACTCGCCTACTGCCGCCATCACCGCCTCTTTCGCCTCTCCCTGAACCCTGACGCCATTCCCTTCCACAACCCGCGTATCAACCGCCGCTTGGCGCCGGGGGATATCAGAGGGGTAGTGGGTTTTCTGAGAAAAGATGGACGGGCCGAATATGTTCTTCCTCTTGGCCAGGCTAAAAAGGATGGGACGATGACAACGACGGCAAGAGGAGGAGGAGGAGGAGGAGGGGAAGCGGGAGAGGGAGGGGAGGCATTCATCTACTGGCGGACACCAGAGGAATGGGGATCGCTGATTGAAGCATGGGTGGAGGAGACGGGGCAGAGGGGGTCCGTGTTGACTGTTTACGAGCTGAGGGAGGGAGAGGGGACGAGGGGGACCGAGATTTGGGGGATGGATGGTGATGTGCTGGTCAAAGCGCTGGGTACGGTAGTCAAGAGAGGGAAGGCGCAGATCTTTCAGAGTGGCGAGGATTCGTTGGGTGTCAAGTTCTTCTAAGACAGAGCGGAGCGAGGGATGGATGCAGGAGAAAAATGGATGGAAAGATGGGCGAGGTTGACTGGCTGCGTGGGTGGGTGTGGAAATCAGAAGCGTGGTTGATGAGGACGTCGATGGAGTTTATGGGACCTGTCAGTGGTTAATTGTTGTGGCGGTCAACGGGCTCACTTCAAGAGGGCCCAGATTTACTGATAGATGGAATGTGTACCAATGTTTACACCGACTTTCGTTCTAGATTTACTACTCGCGAAAGTGGCGGGATATCAAAAGCTTCTGAGGCGGGGAATTTGAAGGGAGAGATAACTACGGCGTGTGGCGGTAGCCATATTTGATACAGTCACATCCACTTTTTCTCGCTAGGTATATATAATGATGGTTAATTGTTGTACATAACACAGCTCGGAAGTTACCATCATGCCATAAAGCGTGCTTGTCTGACTCGATCTGCAAGAAATGTCAAAACATGGACGACAATAAGAAGCATAAACACTTGGAAGTCGGGTCATTTTCCATTCTCGTTTCCTAACCAGTGAAACGTGAAGATTCAATTCCTGTTCCTCATTACGTCCTTCAACCTGCGTCTGGCATCTCTTTTTTTCTGAACCATTTCCCAGAAAATTTTAGTGGCCATAAAAAGTCATCCATCCTCCCATGATATAAGAAAAGAAGTTTCAGGACCAGCGGTATATCGCTTGGCGGAGCGCAAAGCCTCCCATCATGCGTCCTATATGGGCCCTTTTCAAGTGCCCCTCAACTAACCGTCACCTATGTTGCAGCATAGACCGCGACTTCACCGACCATACCCGAACGAAGCCTTCACAAACGAGAACTTCACTCTCTTGGCGACCTGCTGGCATTCTGGCCTTCTTTGACGGCAGCAAGGATCAAGTCCTTGGCCTTCTCAACACCCTCCTTGGTACCAACAACCTCAATAGCCTCACCCTTGGCTTGGTCGCGGGGGACGGTAATCTTGCAGCCGCTCTGCTTGCGAATCTGGTTGACCTTGGCGCCACCCTGGCCGATCACGTAGCGATAGGTCCTAGGATCGGGCAAGATAAGGTAGCCAATAGCATCCTCTTTCTTAGCCTGCTCAATCGCAGTCTCGATGACCTTCTTGGCCTTCTCAATGTTTTCGGGAGAGCCGCGAATAACCCAGGGGATTTCGCCCTCCTCGGTCGAGGTCTGGTCAACTACAGTCCAGGAGTGCGCATCGGCAGTCGACTCCTCGTCATCAGTAATCAAGGGAAGAGAACCGCCATTCGCACGGATGCTCGCAGGGGCAGCGGGCTTGGCGGGAATAGAATGGCCCGCATGGTCGACGGTGACATGGTGATCGCTCTTCAGCCTCCTGAAAATCTGGCCGTTGTTGGAGACCGAATGGTGAAGAGCGCGGGGCACCTGAAGAGTCTCGCCGGGCTGATCCTTCGTCAAGGACTGGATGTGAGCCTTGGCCTTCTCAACATCGGCAGACTGGCCGACAATCTTGATGCCGGTCTGGCCGCTGCCTTGGCGAGGGACGTCGATGGAGACCTTGAACTGTGACTCGAGACCGCGCTTGACATCGCCACCACGGCCAATGAGAGACCTGTGCTTCTCAACAGGGACCTCAATGACCTCGGTAACCTGGTTTTGGCGCTCAGCAACGATAGCCTCGATTTGCTGGATAATGTTGTCGACAACCGAGGTGCGACCCTCAATCTTGATGGTATTATCGCTGTTGTCCTGCTTGGGGAACTGGACAGCGCGAGCAATCTCGCGACGATCGTCGGAGCCGCCTGCCTTGACAACAATGTCACGGATGGTGGAGCCTGCGGAGAGCCAAGTTAGTACATGATTCGCAGCATGCGCTTGACGAGTGACAGTAACTTACCACCTGCGCCAATGAGGCTTCTGTGATACTTCCTGTCGACTTCGATAGTCTTGACAACGGTATCCTCAAAAACGGCCTTCTTTGCCTCCAAGGCCTTCTTAGCAGCAGCAACGGCCTCTTTAGTGCCCTTGATCTGAATCTCAACAAGGCCGTCGGCGGCGTCACGAGCGCTGGGGATGTCGATGACAGCCTTGGTCTCGTTGCGGAGCGCATCGAGAGCAGCACCGCCAGAGCCAATGAGCGAGGGAATCTGCTTCTGCTGAACAGTGACGGTAGCAGTGTAGGAAGTATCCTTCAGATACTGCAACAAAGAAAGCAACTCGTCACGAGCCTCGTCAGCACCACGCTTAGGTCCCCGCACGATGACTTCGTCAGCAGCCTGTTGGCGGCGCGGCTTGCCGGCATCAGAAGCCTCGGCAACAGACTCGTCGTCGTTGGAAGCCTTCTGAGTGCGAGGGAAGAAGATCAAGACCTTATAGCGAGTCTGCAGTCGGTTGATCTGTGCACCCTGAGCACCGATCAGGGCCCGATGGAACTGCGGGTCGATCTTGAGGATGTGAGTGGCCTCATCCTGGAGTTGACGGCCCAAAGCAAGGATGTGGGTCTTGGCCGCCTCAGCCTTAGCCTTGGGACCCTTAAGTTCGACCTTGCCGTCCTGAACCTGAATATCAACATCGAACTTCTCACGGAGCTCACGGATGTTGCTACCGCCCTTGCCAATCAGGTGGTTAGCAAACTTCTGCGGGAATTCAAACTCCAACGTGAAGCCACGCTCCTTCTCGTCGGCCTTCTCTTGCTCGATGAAGGCCTCGCACTTGGAAGCAAGGTTTTCGACAGCCGAACGAGGGCCCTTGATGTTGACTGTGGTGCCAATGTTAGAGACGCGAGCGGGGATCTTCTCCTGACTTCTACGCTCATCCTGCTCCTTCCGAATAAACTTCCTAAGCTTGTCGTGGTACTTCTGGGGAACGTCCAGGGAGGCATGGATGATCTCCTCTTGTTGGTTAACAAGGCCGAGGATGTGCTGGCGGGCGTCCTGCAGCCACTTCTGCATCTCGCTAACCTCGGACTGGCTAGGCTGGCCGCGAGGAATCTCGTAGCTAGTTGGGCTAGAAGGTCCCTCATATACCAAGAGAACAGGGGCGTTGGCCTCAGTAGCCTCGGGGACAACCAACTGCACCCTGTATTCCTGTCTGACACGGGGAGTAATGTCCTTGCGGATGTAAGTGTGGAAGAAAGGATCAACCTGAACAGCCTGGATACGAGCGGGAGGGTGGCTGTCCACAAGACCCTTGATTTCGGACTGGGCCCTAATGGCGTTCTTGCCATCACGAGCATAAAGCTCCCAAGGCAAAGCACCCTCGTTCGAGAAAGGAGTGTTCACCTGGACATTGTGTTGCCTCTCGAGCTGCTCAATGGCCTTCCGCTGACGAAGATAGCGGGTCACGTTGCGGGCATGAGCCGCAGCGCCTCCAGGAGCCTGGCGGTGGAATCTGGAAATGTCGATGTTGGAGCACTGCATGTTCATAGCGAGGTCCATGGCCTTCTCGAGACCAGCCTGAACGTGGTCTTGAGGTCCAATAATGGTTACCATGTCATCATCTTCATCGTTAGGGAGAATGATGGCGCAACCGGTGTCCTCAAAGAACTGGTCAACAGGCACACCCCTGTCTCCGATGATAAACTGGTGACGGCCACGCTGAATCGACAGCTGCTCCAGAGCAAGCTGACGGCGAAGCTCCTCGGCACGTCGTTCAATGGCGGCCCTCGCATTTTGAACAGCGGTACGCTCACCGGCGAGCTGAATGTTGTAGTCCTGAGGAGCAGGCGCAAAGATGGGGCGTTGCCCAGGAGCAGGGATGCTGGGGGGTTGCAGGGACCGGCCCTGAAGGGGAGGAACGCGAATCTGAACTCCCATGTCTTCTTCGAGCTTGTGCACCAGGTTGTTCTTGGGTCCGGCAATGAAAGGGTAGAACTCGGCGGGGATATTACGCAACTTGGTCTGGACGTTGGCGGCGCGCTCACCGGCAATCCTATCAATTTCCTGCTGAGCCGCTGCAGCAGAAAAGGCGTTACCCTCGATGTGAACGTTGATCATGGTATCATCGTCCTCGTCTGCAGGAGGCTGGGACTCGTCGGCCTTTGGTAGCTGGATTCTCGCTCCGGTCTTCTCCTGAATAGCCTTGATGGTGTAACCGCCCTTGCCGATAATGTGCGCCCTCGCCGACGAGGGAATCTGAACGGTGATGTTTTGCTGGGAAACAGGGAATTAGCTCCATGATGCAGGATTTCATCGACAAAGGGTCAGGGTAAAACCAACCTTGGTGCCGATTTGGTTAACCAAGTCCTTGAGCGCCTGGGTGGCGTGCTCTTGGGGGCCAACAGCGTCGAACCTAAGCTGACCGTTACCCAGAGCATGCATGGTCACGTTGGCGCGCGCCTTGCGGTTCAAGTCCTTCAGGATATCGGGAAGAGGACGCTTGAGCTGAGTCCTGGGAAGGATGTGGGGCGGGTCAAGCAACATGGTTTCGACATTGCGGCCCGGAATGCTCAACGGATGTGGCCCGGGCCCTTGCCTTCCGGAGCCGATCGGGGTGCTAACACCGGAAGGCGGTGCCGAAGTCTGCGGGGTGCCGTTGGCCGGAGCGGCGCCATTGGTGCTCCCATTGGTGTTGCTCTTGGCACCCCAGATGGGGGCAACAACACTCGCTTTGGGCTTGGGCCCGCCCAGCTCGGGGAACAGCTCGCGGGATTGCGTGTCGAGGGTCTTGGGCTTGGGCTTGGGCGCCGCGGGAGTCTCCGAGCTAGAGACAGGCTTGTGAAGATCCTCGTCCTCAACCTCCTCGACAAGGACGCGGTGGGAGGAGCCGGCGTTGGAAGCTGTCTCCAGATGCTGTTGCAAGAGCTGCGCGGCAGCTGACTGCTCGGTCGAGTCGGCCATTATGATGGTGATGATGATAAAAGGCGATAACGTACCAACGAGCTGGGGATACGGAACAGGCGCGTCTCGTTATCTGACACGGGAATTGTGGTTAGATGGCTGTGCTAGAGTAGAGGTAGGGGGAGCTTGGGAGCTGTGGCAGATTAGGGGTCGATATCCGGGATGTTGAGTCCGAGACAGGAACTGCAGCGTTGGTGGTTTCCGCGGCCTGAAACATTCCAGAAGAACCGTTTTCTCGTGAAGACTGTGAAGGGGAAAGGGGACAGGGAGGGCAGTGCAGGATAGAGCAAGGGAAGCAGGCTGAAGTAAGTGGCTCGGTTGCGGGAGTTCAAGTAGGTGGGTGGTGTAACTCACAGCGCCGGGAAGTACTGTAGTGACGTTGATTAAAAATAGGTTGTGTTGGGAGAAAGGACCACCCAGCAGCTCGAAGCTTATAAAGTCGGTATGTGTGTGTTGGTCGAAAAGGTTCGGCAGTGCCTGCGCAATACCGAAGGGTAGAAAAGCTAATCCAATGCAGGACAGATAAGAAGACGAGGCTGAGGGGGGGAAACGGGCGAGGAGACTCGGATGACAACAGGTGGCAAGCTTGTTGTTGGTCTCTCTATAGCATGATGCACAGGACTGGCGATCAATCCTGGGGTAATGGAGGAGAAGAAGGGAAACCTCGATGGGAGGATCTGGAGGAGTCTCTAAGAGGGGGAGGGGAAGAGGAGTGAATGGAGCGGATGGGGGGAAAGGTTTAAAGAAAGGTTCGGGACGGGCGACGAGCCAAAGGGCGGCGAACAAGAGAGGTTATAGCGGACCGAAGCTGAAGAGGCCACAATTGCCCGTGCCGTAGTCGACAACGGAAGTGGAAGCTGGGTCGTGGAGGCTACTAGTACATAACTGAAGGTAACGTGGGACCAAGGTAGGTAGGTAGGTAGGTAGGTATACCTGGTCGTGGGGTCGATGAAGTGGGAATTGTGTCCAGAATGGGGTTGTCCTGGAAGCTCCCTGATACGCTACAACGTGTTCAACGTCTCCAAAAAAAAATTGTCTGGCCAGTTCCCCTCGCGTCCCCTCCACGACTGCTGAGCCAGTTTAGTGTGGGCGAAGTGGCAGGTCCCTAGAGATACCTACTAGCCTCTGCGAACCGTTCCGAGTCCTCTTGTGGCTTGTGCACTGCTAGCTTCCATAGGTAGGTACCACACGCATAAAAAGTAGATCCACCCAAAAGACCGGACCAATGGCGTTTCGATATTCAACTAGAATTAGCCCTACACTAGTACCAGGCCCGCCAGACTGGCTCACTGCTGGCTGCAGAAAAATGTTGGGCAATTGTCCAAAGCAGTTCGCATCAACAGCTGCCAATTCCCGTCCAGGAGCTCCTGCCGGGCCGTCCTGGCAAGGGAAATAGGGGCTCCATGGCATCAATAGTGTACAACTCCTCCTGATCAATCATCAACACCAGGACGGCAGTCAACCTCAGGATGGGAACCTGTGCGTGTAACTTTTAGGTTTGCAGTTTGCATACAGCACATTTTCACGGTGCGTCTCACTGGCCACGAATTCTCTGCAGCCGTCGTCACTTGTGCAATGTCCTACTTAGCTGGAGCATTCCAGCAGTTTCTCCATGATTCCAGTCTGGTCTCCTCTCCAACATCCAACACGTATCCTTTTGATCAACTCACCTCCAACCCTTGCCTCAAGAAATGGTTCTAGCTAATTCGGATCGGATCAGTTGGGAGAATCAACATTCATACCATTTCCTGATCGCATTTGCCTGGTCATATCTGTGACCTGACACCCTCAAGACTGGAGCTTGTGAGCGGGAATAAAGCATGGAGGAGTAACAAACTATGAGTGAGGACCGAGAAGAACACTTGGCTGCATTCAAGGACAAATCCTAAAAGCGACTATACAAGCCCTTCACTCTGCTGTTCCGCGTCGATAATCACCTTCCATGTCTTCAACGACCCTGTGAATATCAAGTAGCCTTCTGATCCCATATTCCTCCATCATTTTTCATCGAGTCATCTGCCAAAGAGTAAGAAGAGACCCCGCAGTTGTTCTCGAAAAACATGATAGCGTCTCAAGCTCTCCTCTCAACAGCACGACCGCTTATATAATTAAGATCCGGCACTCAGCCTCCACGACACGTGTTTTGACTCTAACAACGGCTTTTACTGAAAGGTTCATCGGAAACAAAAGAACAGATCGTGATTCTCCGTGGCGGAAAGCTCGGCTACACGGATAAAATAACGTGGATGTTACTACACCAACATGTGGTGTGAACAATCAACGACGAGCCAAATGAACCATGTTTATGAGTCTCGACGGTCGAAGCCGGCATAAGAAGAGACGACAATGTTCTCCCTAGTGGAGCTCTACCCTGAGTTCCTGACCAGGCGAAGTCCAAAGAACATCCAATACCCACACGGATCTCATGAAATCGAATGGAAATCTGCAACAGAAAAAGAGGTCAGGACACCACAACTTCCCATCACCGTCGCAGACCGACCAAGACAACTTGTAATCCTTTCTCTACTTTTCCGCTGAGTTTCGTTGCGTAGACGCATTCCACTTCAACAGTCATCACCAACCCAGCTATGCAAGTGGCGAAACATCCCGAGTTTTGAACCGTAGCGTAGTTGAATTCAGGTTCTTGTTATATCTCATTCTCCTAATACAAACTTCTTTATCGACTTTGACCCTATCCCAAGGCTACTCCCCGTGATCAAGTTCATATCTCCATTACTTAACCACTGTTTGCCAACGGAAATCGAGGCTCATCATTTCTAAACCTTTTCGTCCTGTTTTTGCGTACTAGACAGGAGTCAGGATGGGCCAGTTGGGTAATAGAGGGAAAGTGAAGAGAAAGGCGAAGAGACAGGTAAAGAGAAGCATTGAGACTAGGTACTATTCAGATTTGTAAATATGCCCTATCATACTAGTGGTTAAAAGAAATCTCGAATGTGATGACGACTCTTTTGATTATCTTGACCTTTGGTAATTAAAAGTTTACTACCTTACTCGTCATTGATTATGGGTCAGGATGATTACTTAAAACCAACCTCACAAAAATAGACGAGCCACAACAAGGGGATTACTCAATCATATAAAGAAATATATATCAACATATACATGTGTGTAATTTCAGTCTGTCTCAAGAATGCACTGGGAAGCAGAGGTTGATAAAATGATGAAAGTGAAGCTTGAGAGGGAGTGAGCGAAGTGAAGCTTGAGAGGGAGTGAGCGAGCGAGACACACCACGGGCGGGTACCTTACTCACACGCATGTCTCCAGTCGCTCCCGTTTCCCTACTTCCCAATCCTTCCAGTCCTGAAATATCCCGTGGTTTTCTTCAAAGCTTCCCAGTTCTGTTCACTTTCCCAAAGCCAATACAGGAGATAGATATCCCGAATCCACATACCAAGCCCTCTGCTACGTTGTGTACTTGTGACACCTCTCGGCTACACGCTGCAAGGTCCCGTTATCCGGTGCCTGAGAGTCCTTCCATCACCTGAGTTCGTTGTCCAGTGTCTTTGGCATGGCGTATTCTGGCCCATTCACAGTCCGCGAACCCGATCTACCTGGTCCATATAGTTCCTGTGACTGGTTTGCAGCGGTTTGCAGCGGCTTAGGGCATTCTCTGTGTAAGTGGATGGTTCCTGTTTCATATTCAGAGACAGGGTTGAAGTTGATGTTCTGCGAGTTAGTGCGTGATTGGGCTGGGTTCTTGAGGGAGAGGGATATCCTAGCGTACCTAGTTCTTGATATCTTTTCATGTGCCTTGAATGATCCTTCCCAACAATAGATCGACATGATGTACGTGGGTGTACCAAAGCCCACATGGCGGGAGTACACACTACCATTTGCTAGTGTTGGGAGTAAGGTAGCGAACGCCTTCTCCTTATTCTAGACCCTTTTCTCTCCGCCCATCCATTCATGTTTGTCTAGATTGTAAGACTCGGACCATAAATAAGGTAGAGGGGATGCCGACTCAGTAGGTGGCTGGTTTGATATAAAACACCCCGTGCCTTTCCCGTCCAACTGGGCCCAATCATCAGAGGTACCCTCGCTGGCTCGCAGTTAAGATAAGGTGAGAACCGAGATGACTAAGAAAACTACGACTTGGTATCGAGTTAACGTGCGAGATGAGACTGCAGTAGGCGAGCACCCGGGTGTGCACATTCGCCTTGAGAATGGGCGTATGTATGCCTAGGCACGCCGACTCGAAAGTGTTGTCTGGAACGATGTCTCAAGTTATTGTGACAACGTTTGACAAAAACGTATCACTTCATGTTGACTGGCGCAGAGTTTGCGTATCTGTAGCTTTAAGTCGACGACGGTTTGCTTTTCTGTGTACCTATCCAAGACACAAGCCCCCCCTCCTTCCCCTGCCTGTCGTTTTCGTCCCGAGTACCTAGCTTGCACTGATTCAATCAAGGGACGGTGCAAGTCCAAATCATGGCTCCTGCAGGTACAACATGCTTCCCGAGTCCGCCATGGCGGAGAAACATGATATGTATATTTGCATCTGGCGTCAGTGTTTTGAACGCATCAGTGAGTGAAAAGTTCCGGTACACTGTCCGATGTAGATGGTTACCCTTGACGCTATCTTCGAGGTCGCGGGCATTCTTCGGTAGGGGCGGGGGCTTGAGAGAACGAGAAGATAGGCACAGACCGTCTCGGCAGGCCCGAGGAAATTGCATGTTGAGGCAATGATTGAAGTACAACACGACCCCTTGAGTCGGCTTTGATGTCAGATTATCGTTGTAAAAGTCAAGGCGGGAGACGAACTTAGCCAGGGATGAGGTTCTCGGGGATTATCACGCCTCTTGCAATCTTCTCGTCCGCGATCCCTTGTTCATATCGATTGAAGCAGGCTTCTGTCAGGTTTCTGGAAGACCAGCCAAGATGCATGGTGCGCGGCACGGCAAAAAGGGTGCCGGGTCTGTTTCCGCACGCAGGAGGCGAATGGCCCCGATCTTAGATGCGGCTCGTGTAGGTACACTATATAGAGACGAAAGGTGTCCAGTGAACAAGGTCCAGAGTCCTCGGCAGAAGAAGGGCCATCCATGGCATCGTGGTATCCCAAGCATAGAGCTCGACATACATAGGTCCTGCAGAAAAAGGTACGTACAGTATGTAGGCATATCAACCTACCTACAGGCACCCTGCAGAAACGCCTTTTGCGTAGGTACCACACCGACAGTTGCAGCACACATACCTTTCGAACTCGAGGTGGTATCTGCATGACAAGCGCGATAGGTGCTAGGCTAAAGACACAGGCTCAGGTAGTTACCTACTTACTGTGAATGAAGCAGGTACATCCTCGATGACTGTCTTGAAAGATGAGTGCCGACTCTAACAACGAGCCTTGTCGATGAGTATCTGGCTGAACGTGTGTTGCGAATGGTGTTGATTTGCAAAACGAGGTATTGTATAAAATTGGCGCTCCATGGACTAGTAGGCTGTCGGGTTGTCACTCTCTTCCTGAGCTACGGCTGTTGTAGAATATGCTCGTTTCCCCTTGTTCTTCGATAGAAGGGTGACAGAAAACGGCAAAAACTCGTATAGCGAGTTGCTCCTACGGCATTGTGCACCTCATGATGAGACCTGTCACCGCGTGCAAATTCCATCTGCCGACAAGGTTTTGGAGAAGGAGAGAAGGAGAAACCTCGTTTCACCGAGGAGACACACACATACAAGCTTTGAGTTGTGCAATCAAAGAATTCTGTATGGCTGGCTGGGTGCAGTGGTGGGTGCGTGGTCAACTTGCCTGCTAGAAAGCGTAAGACAAAGCGGATCTTGTTATGGAGGCTCTGGTGTTTTCAAAGTGCAAGGCGCTAACCATTTCTATCAAGTTCTCGTAGTATTGCCGTCCTCCGCAGCGTTCTCTCAAACAGTTTCGATGCCGGATACCTACCATTTAAGGCATGTTTCGCCGTCAACCTGGCGGTATCCTAATTTCCTCAAGCCGAGGTGGTGTGTAGTTCAACGCATAAGCAGTAGCAGACAAGCTGTTAGCAAAGAGCGGCTTTGTGATCCAGCATTGTCCAACGTCCGAGCGCAACAAGTTGACAAGAAGGCGACCATGGGGCCTCATAACGCGGTTGCCCAAAACAGAAAATCATCACCGTCTTGCTTGAGTTGCTGGTTCAACCCCTTACACGACTAGCCTGGATAGATCGCATCACGGAACCTGGCGCTATTCCCAACTCCATGGATAGGGATCTGGAGAGCGTGAGTGACTAGCCTGCCGTTCATATCTGACGGCCAATCGGTAGCAAATGAGTGGCATTCACGACGAACTGTACGTAGCTATACGGCGAAGCAGGAGGCGGCGTTTGCTGGGCTGTCAAACCCATCCACATACCACAGACCGCGTCCCACAATCTTGCGAAACACAAGGCTCATTGCAGACACTACAGGGCCAGGAGCGCTTGTCCAAGGACTGCTGAGTCTCGATATCGAAGGAAGTTGGTCAACCCCTTGAGAACTACATTTCGCGCGCGGAAGGCCTGCTGCGGCCCCACAGGCCGGCCGGCCTTAGATTTTCACAACGCTCATCGCTTCAAGCCGGTGCGCCCCAGTCGTCCTAGACATGACGCCCTGGCCGGGCCACAGAGGCAAGAAAAACGAGTGGACGCCAAACGCCAGGGACTGGGACGCGGAAATCCAAGGACCAAGACGGGCGTTTCGACTCCGCCCGTTTGGCCATATCTACCCCACAAGCCCGGGGCATTTAATCACGGTTGCCGAGAGGACGGCCGTGTCAACAGCCTGATAGCCTCCACCTTGGGGCGCCCCTTGGACGTAAGCTGCCCCGTATCTGATACGTACCGAGGGACTAAATCTTGGCTGATGAGCGTGATGGCGATTTGTCGAAAGAAAATGGTTGCCCGTTTTCAAAAAGTTCAATTATGCGAATACATAGCACGGTCCTATCGCGCCAAGCTTGAACACGCGAGGAGCACATGAGCACCTCACACCTCACTGTGCGTAGGAGGAGGGGTTGTCCCGGCCGTGATTGACGCGGGCAAGCAAAGATTGTGGCTGTGTTGTATGTAGATAGAGGTACATACTGTACTGTCGAACAGAAAGCCGCAGAGGTTGCACGCAGACTCGTTCTCCAAGATGCCAGGCCAGTCCAGGGTCGGAACCTGGAAGGCCCTCGAGTTGACGTCTACATACATTGGAATCGAATAAAGTTGACAGCGCCAAGCAAGGTCCAGAGCGGGTGTTGGAAGCAACCTCGACGACATGATGCCAAAGTCAAGAGGAAACGAGGGAAGAGGTTGAAGAGGTGGTGGCGCCCTGGTCCCTGTCAGTCTCCCGTGCAGAGTGTCCCCGCCATCGCCGTTCCGTTGCCGCCGGCGGTTGAACAAAAAGTGGGCAGGTGAAGTGAACTTGAAGCCTCTCACAGGCGCCTTTTCGTGGTGTTGTAGTGGTACGTAGCAGTGGCAGCAGTGGTCAAAAGTGGCTCTCTTCAACTGCAATGGCACCCGTCTGCACCAGGCAGTCTAGTCCCACTCTCCCGTCCCCACCCGTCCCCACCTGCCCTGTCTGGCAACGGGGACTGAGGTGCAGACTTCAGTTGCTTCCCGGGCAGAAGGCGGACACACTCCCGCTGTCTGTCTAGAAGCCGAAAAGTGCATGTGCTGCCCTCTTGTAAGTGTGCGGTGCAGCAGATGCAGCAAGCAACAGCCGCCCGACAGCAGTCACGAAGCAGTTCTAGACAACAAAAACTCAATCATATGCTTCCCTGAACTTTCGTTGTGTCCTTCCTTGTCTCCAATTCTCATTTGGCATCTGCAGGCCGAGTATCCCCGCCCCGCCCGCCGTCCGACCGTCAGCAACACCGGACGACAGCCAGACAACTTCAGACGACGGCAGCCGTAGTAGTAGCAGCAGCAGCAGCAGCAGCAGCAGCAGCAGCGCCGCGCATACCCGACACCAGTCCGCCATCTTGGGTTCACTTGTTTGAGCCCGGCCAACAATAAGTCGATAACGAGTTTGACGAGATTCGTGAAATTCGACAACCCACAAACTGTCAACGGCCACACATCGACACCGACTCGTACAAAGTTGGACCACAATTGGACACACCCTGCCCAAAGCAAGCAATCCCCCGCGCCGCCCAACCAGTCACCCACTTTATCCAAGTCATCCAATCCCTCTCCAGTCTGCGCACTTGTAGCACCAGCACCATCCTGTATGGACTATGCCCGACCTTGCCCTGTTCAATCATCAATTGGGTGCCGTCCACAAGCTAACGTCTGGTCACCACTCTCAAAAGGTAGCCGGACCCTGACCTTCTGATAAGCATACTAAAAAGCTTCGAGATCCATCAAAAATAAATCGTCATTCAGATAGTCTAGAGAAAACAAGCGGAAAAGTGAAAAGCGCCAGCCTAGTCCGAGTTTCCACACAGCAGTAACAACAGAAAGCATCACCCCTTCTTCAACGTACCCAGTCCCCGCCAAACCCAGCATCGCCGGTCCGGGGTCTGTCTTTTTTTCCTACCTTGTACCTTCAACTTGTACACAATCCCACCACAAACCAAAGCGCAATTTTCGACCGGCATCAAGCTTCCAGGATCCCGTCCCCCTTCAATTGTCGACTTTTTGCTCTTGTCCGTTCTGTGTCTGCGATTCTGGCCTGCCAACTTATATCCCGCCCGCCTCAATAACTGCTGCCACCCCCCCTCAATTCCCGTCTCTTCTCCCAAGTCTCGCCTACTTTTGGTTGACCCGGCCCCCAGCCAAACCGTCCGCCAGTACCGTACGTTGAACATCTTCCTTGTCTTTTCTTATTCTTAGTTACCCCATCTCGTAGCCCTCGTGCCCTCCCCGACGCTAGGGTTGGGTTTCTCTCGCAGTGACCATGGACGGCCAGCTCTCCCTCCTCTCGCCCACCTCGTCCTCCTCCACTTCGCATAGTCGCAAAAGACTCACAAAGAAGCAACGCCCGCCATCCGCAAATCACCGCACTAGCTCCTCTTTCAATGTCGAATCGCTCCGTATTGACGCCCAATCTCTAGACAGCAAACGGAGCGCCTCCAGCCTGCGCCAGGGCCCCAACTGCAACCAAAGCCCTTCTCTGGCCAGGACCGTATCCGTCCCAGTCTCCGTCCCTTCAAACGCGCCCGTCCACACCAAAGCCAGCAACCTCTCTCTGCCACGCTCCCACACCACTCGCTCTCAATCCGCAAATCGCCCTTACAATCCGACGCAGACAATACCAACCAACCGCTTTATCCTCTCGCCGGCCTCATCGTCGCAACCCCAATCTCAATCGCCGCCTTATCCCAGCGCTGTCGCCAGCACCACCGTTACTAGCTCCAGGAACAAGGACACATCCAAGCAGTACGACCCACTAGACTCCTGCATTGGATCCTTCGATCAAAACAAATTATCCACGGATGAACTGATTGGCGCTCCATTCGACGGCAACGCCATTCTCAGTCGAATCGAGGCAACAAAATTATCCGCCGCGCCCGCGCCCACGTCCACGACCACGATTGCGCACTCCAACAACATTTCTCCTCGTCGTGTCGCTCCTCCTCCTCCCCCGCCTGCTCTATCGCGCTCAAACACGGACTCCAAGGCTGCGAGATCTTCAAAACCGTCAAAGTCGCCCAAATCCACCATATCAAACAAGACCATGGGCGCATCTTCATTCCGCCATTCGGCGAGTTTCTCGTCGGCTGAACAACTTCCGCCAAGCGAAAAGCCGTCCAAGTCAGAGAGCAGCTCTTCGAGTAACAAGAGACACTCCGGTGATGGTAAAGAGTCCAGGGTGCCCGGTATGCTAAGGAAGAAGTCGGGCTTCTCCGGCTTCATGAACAGCTTAGTTGGGTCTCCGAAAAAGCCATTGATTTCGGCGCCAGAGAACCCCGTTCACGTCACACATGTCGGATATGATAGCAATACTGGCCAGTTCACAGTATGTTGCCATGCGATGTCAACTAGTTTGAATGTTATGGATGGACTAACACGTTGATAGGGTTTGCCAAAAGAGTGGCAGCGTTTGATAAGCGAGAGTGGAATCACCGAGAAGGACAGAAGAGAACACCCACAAATACTGGTCGATGTCCTCACATTTTACAAGGAGACAACCGAGAAGCCACAGGAAGATCAACAGCTAGAGAAGTTCCACGATGCACGAGCGACAGATTTTCGCAGCCCGCCCGTGACCGGCACCGCTCCGCTCGTACTGCAAACAGGCGTTGGCTACGCTCATGGTCCCATGTCGCCAATGATTAGTCCACCCGCTAGTCCTAGGTTCCCCCAAGTTGGTCATGAAGGCAGCTTTGAGAACCCTCGTGCGCCGCCGCCGGTTCCCAAGGGCCCTGGCCCTCTTCCAGCAAAGGATATCAACTTGATCCCCAGCAGACCGGCACCGAAGCCACCAGCAATATCCACACGACCGCTGGTGCCGCCAGCCTCATTGCCAGCCAAGGATTCAGGAATTGGCATGCCACCGCCCGGTGATGAGGCCCCGATGCCGTACCTCCCTCCCAAGGATAATGTCCAGCATATGTACCAGGAGGAGCACAGGAGCAGGTCCAGATCGAATTCCCGAACAAACGGCGCTGCCCCGTTCTCTCCCGTGCAGGCGTCCCCACTGCATCCGATCGCCGCGGCGAACCAGACTGCGGCTTATCAGCAGCAATTGTTGCAACACCAGCAAGAACAGGCCATGGCCCAAGCCCAAGCAGCAATGAGTGGTCAACTGAGCCGAGCTGCAAGCAAGAGACAACAACCAACTCCGCCCACCTCACAACACCAACACCCCCGGCAGCCAGACATCAATGGGGCTCCTCGTATGCCACAGACTCAAGGGGCGGCTCCCCAAGCTAGCGCGAGACCCCGTCACAGACCGCGGCAAAGTAACGCGATTGATGTCGTGGCTTCCCTAAAGAGGATATGCTCCGACGGGGATCCGAGAGAGATTTATCGTGGGTTTACCAAAATTGGTCAGGGTGCCTCTGGTGGTGTGTATACTGGCCATGAAAGGGGAAGCAACAGGCTGGTGGCTATCAAGCAGATGAACCTTGAGCAACAGCCAAAGAAGGATCTCATCATCAATGAGATTTTGGTTATGAAGGAGAGCTCACACCCCAATATTGTCAACTTTATTGACAGTTACCTATGTGCTGGGGAATTGTGGGTAGTCATGGAATACATGGAGGGTGGTAGCTTGACGGATGTTGTCACGTTCAACATCATGACTGAAGGGCAGATCGCGTCAGTTTGCCGAGAAACCCTCAGGGGCCTTCAACATCTGCACTCCAAGGGTGTCATACACAGAGATATCAAGTCAGACAACATTCTCCTTAGCATGGAAGGCAATATCAAGCTCAGTAAGTTTTCCCCTTCGGGCTTTTTGGGCAGTCTCGGAAAGTTCAAACCTTTTGAGCATTTTCCTGTTCATTTTCCCTCCATCTTCAAACCCTCAACGCCCATCTGGTGCTGTGACCCGATTTTAACCCTTGTTTTTCCACCATAGCCGATTTTGGATTCTGTGCAACAATCAACGAAGCTCAAAGTAAGCGTACGACAATGGTTGGCACGCCTTATTGGATGGCGCCCGAGGTTGTGACACGTAAAGAGTACGGCCGCAAGGTGGATATCTGGTCATTGGGCATCATGGCCATCGAGATGATTGAAGGAGAGCCTCCCTACCTGACCGAGTCGCCTCTTCGAGCGCTTTGGCTCATTGCGACCAACGGCACGCCGCACATCAAGGATGAGCAGTCACTCTCACCGGTTTTCCGCGACTTCCTCTACTTTGCCCTCAAGGTGGACCCGGAGAAGAGGGCCAGCGCTCATGATCTACTAAGGGTAAGTCTTGGTTCGCCCCTGCACTTTGAATGGCCCTCTGTTTGCGGCTCTTCGCCGGCTATATTACGCTACCAGTCTCAAGGAGATGGTGATATTTCCGCCGGGCACCCGAGCTAACTCCAGTAACAGCACGATTTCATGAACAAGTGCGTCGACCTATCAACACTGGCGCCCCTAGTCCGAGCAGCAAGGGAAGCTCGAGCCCAAGAAAAGGCCCGGAAAGGGCAGTAGTGTATGATTCTTCTAGGCGTTCTGTGCTGTGCACGCACGAGAGATATTCCCCTGGAGCGTTATTGTTTTCGCATCCCCCTTTTTGTTCTTTGCCTTTCTTTTTTTTTTTTTTTTTTTTTTTTTTTTTCCCTTTCTGGGTTCTAAAGCAATTCTCTTCTGCAGCAGAGATTTGTGGATTAGGTGTGGTTATCAACCCGATCTCTACCTTTACGCGGCCGGGCAGGTCTTGATTTTGCATCTGCTGGAATTTCTTTCTTGGTTTGAGAGATCAGTGGGTACCCGACACATAACATATGTACTTCGATCCTTAAAATTCTTCTAAGTATTTTTTTCTTCTTCTTTTATTACGAACGAGGGATATTTTGCCCGAACGAGCGAAGCGAACCCAGAGCACACACGTATACACACCTCTACACAGGGGGAGAAAAAAAACGAACCGTTGCACAGCGAGCGGAATACGAAATGCAAAGCATGCAAGCAAACAAGCCAAAATCACAGCGAAGTAGGCATAGCACAGCGAGCCGGAGGGCGACGGATGTTTTATGTTTGCTGGTTTCCTCGAAACGGCAACGGCCTTTCGATATACACAGGTAATTGAAGTCTTTGTCTTCTTTACGGGTTATTATGGAATTCGGGTTGGGAAACTGGGAATTGTCAAGAGGCGGGACATTTTCTTCTTGGTTATGGATGATATTTATGGCAATTATACAACATGGAAGAAGAATTTGAACTGCTGCACCAAGATGGGATGGGGCAAGATTTTCACTTCAAGGGCTCACAGTGTGTTTATTAGGTAAGGACGTTGTTGGCGTTTCTCACACTGGCAGGGAAAGGACGTCAGGGACAAAGTGCACGCTTGGAACGGGATGAGGGAGACATGAACGATGGCTAGGCTGGAGGATACAGAAGTATTACTTGAAGTGGACATTGAGACACTTGACCCTGATATCCGTTTCCTCTTGATGCGACATTCATGATGTGTCAGGTTAAAGAGCGTTACTTTTGACTTCTGAGGAATCCCGACAAAGGTATGCCAGCACCAATAGAAGCTCATCGATGCAAGCTGTATCCTACAAGCCGGAAAGGAAAAAAAGAAAGAAAGAAATTTGCCATTCAAGTCAACACCGGGACTCCAGATCTCGGTCAAAGTCATCATCACCAACCACATCATAGAACTTCCCAAGTCTGCTCGTTCTCACACCCTAACCTTCCTTCTCTCCCTCTGTTCAATCCTTCTCTAAAGTTGAAAACCCCTCCAGGCCTCAGTACACCGCTTTCTTTTCGATTTTCCACTGCCATCCCGTCACGATATCACACAATATCACACAAAGCATTCAATGGCAGTGAACCCATTAGCCAGTATGAGTATACAGCACATCCACTCAATCCCCATCCATCTCTTCACAATCACCATTACTGACTCGAGATCAGTAGTAGTCTCTTGGGTAACCACATGCCCCGTGTGGTGTACGCATAGTCAAGCCCCCGTCCCCCCGGCCCCCTGGCCTCTTAGCCCCCTCCTCCTTCCGCTCTCCGTGCGACTTCTTGGGGGTCGGGGCCAGGGACCACGTCGTCTGGCAAGATCCACTTTGTGACGTCATGTCGATGGAGAGCATGAAAGGAGCACCTACCTATTAGTAACTCAAAGAAAAGAGCCACAGGAGCACGATTCAAAAGAAAAGTTGCACCTGTGCTCGTTAGTTTGGATCAAGTCCTTGGTAGTCTGGCGTATTCAAGCAGTCAGCCATCAAATGGTGGCGGTGTTTAGCGGCTCTGATTCTCGTGGCTCGTGTATCGCGGTTGTGGGATGGAGACGGCTTCAAGCAGTAACATATACAAGTTGAATAAGCAATCATCAATGTTGATGCCAAGAATTATATTGTTTAACTCTCATCGAAAGAGACTATGCTCGATTCAATTATGTAAAAGCCCTTTCCCCGTTCACCCCCTATTTTGTTATGACTTTCTTTGAGCGTCAAAGGCAAAGCAGAGCAACTCGAGGAGACATCGCCGTAGAAAAAAAAAAGGGAAAAAAAAAGGTAAATCATTGATACATGTCCCCAAACGCCATCCCGTCTTTCCTGTGTCTTTTCGTCTCGAAAATTCTCAGCAAGCCAAATCCGCTGCGCTGAAACAAAAGCGAGAAACCCCCGTTGTCCGTCTAGTAGAGATGAAAAGAAAAGCCGCCATGCCAACGGTGAAAGATCCACCAAAATCAGAAAAAGGCGTCGTCCCTTTGCCGTGAAAGCTGAAATCCGTCCGCGACTCCTTTATGTGTGCAGAAGCTCGAAGTTCCATGCACGATCAGTCTTGGGGTGTCAAAGCCGAAAAAACAGTCCGTCTCTAAGGTATTCCCCCAAACCAAATATCTCATAGGCGACCAGTTTAGTAAAGGGTGTAGCCACCGTCAATGATGACATTGGAGCCGGTCATGAAGCTGGAAGCGTCAGACGCAAGGAAGACGCAGAGGCCGTTGAGGTCGTCAACGGCACCCAAACGCTCCTGGGGAGTTAGCGACTTCCAGATCTTCTTCTGGGCGTCAAGGGCAGGGACCTTGTTCAGGGCGGTATCCATGTAACCGGGGGAAATGCAGTTAACACGGATGTTGTACTTGGCCCACTCGGCAGCAAGAGACTTGCCGAGCTGGATGACACCAGCCTTGGAGGCGTTGTAGCACGACTGTTCCTGAGGGTAGTTGACGATGGTGCCGGACATCGAGGCAACAAGGATGATAGAGCCGGGCTTGCCAGCGGCCATCATGGCGCGGCCGACGGCCTGGGACATCAGGAAAGAGCCGTTGAGGTTGATGTCAATGAGACGACGGAACATGGCAGCATCGTACTTCTCGGCAGGAATGTTCGAGTCGGCGATACCGGCTGAGTTAACCAGGACGTCGGGAGCGCCATAGAGGTCAACAACGTTCTGGACGGCAGCGTTGATGGCGCTGCCATCACGAACATCTACCTTGAAGAATGAGACGGGAAGGCCAGTCTTCTGGTGAAGCTCAGCAGCAGACTCGTCGCCGAGGTCCTGGTTGGCATCGAAAATAACAATGGCCTTGGCACCAGCCTCAGCGCAAGCGCGAGCCATGTAGTTACCGAGACCACGGGCACCACTAATAATGTGTTAGCAGTTGATCTAAAATGGTGATCCGGAGGACAAAGAAGCTCACCCAGTGATGATAATAACCTTGCCCATGACGCTCATCTTTTGAAGAGTGCGAGGCATCTGACGATAGACCTTATCCTCCAAGGGCTGCACGTGGTCATCGGGCTCGCTCTCCGCAACCTGCTGGCGAGGCTTTACGGGAATGCTGAAATGATCCCCAGTGTTGGAGGAGGCGGCTCCCTTTGCGTCGCCAGAGTAGATAGAGACGGGAACCTCCGTCTCCTTGACGACCTCAGACTTGAGGTTGCGAGTGGAAACCGAAAAGGCGGCGCGTTGGGCAACCGAGGCCTTCTGGGCAAAAAGAGCCGAAGGGCGGGAGAAGGTGAGGCGCGAGGCCATGCGGACGGAGCGAGTAGCGGCGGCCATTTTGATAGTTTGTGGAATGATGACGGAAAGTGAACTGGCGAAGTTTCCAGGGTTCTCGAACAAACAAACAACAGCAGGAGGACAACGCTGCGGGAGCGGAAGACGGGATGGAAGTTTGGGTATCAAAGTGAATGACCAGTGGGTGAAGGGGTCGTTTGACGAAGGGACCAGGGCTCCTCAATAGCGACAACAAAATTGTTTGATCAAGAAGCAAGAGGAGAGAGCAAGAGAGGAGGGAGCTCGGAGTCTTTTAAAACGAAAAAAAACGTCGCCTGAAGGGCGGAGATGGATGGATAGGAGTTGTGACGGATACGTGAAGCCCAAAACACTAGGAAAACCGGAGACGGGATGAGGCAAAGTCCAGGCGGGTCTGTATGCCAGGTGGTGGTGGCCAAGGATGGATGGGTAATTCTCGTAAATATGGGTAACGGATTGGTAACGGATGGGGAAGCCTGCAAGGGTTTGACAAGGGCCAGGGGACGGAAGCCAAGCAATCCCAGAAGCGGGAGAGAAGGGGAGGGGAGGGGGAGGGGAGGGGAGGGGCGGAGGCGAGTCGAGATCTTCTTGTGCTAGTTTTTGCTGGTGCGTTTGGGTTGCTGCACTTGTCTATTCTCTGTCGATCGTCAGTGCGCCCAGTCACACTTGGAGATGCTGTGGTTCTATGTGGCAGCACTGCTGCTGGGCTCTTCCACTAGTTTGAACCCTTTGCGAACCTCCGAAGCTAAACGTCGGTCTGGATCCTTCTCCAATTTGCTGTGTACAACGCAACCAAGGGTTTCGAACCTGAATGATATTTGTTGTTGCGAGAACGGCTATCAAAGGGTCGGGGATCGACGGTGAACTGAATCATGCCGCAGCACCGACCCACCCTCCTCAGATTCCAAGGGAAATACGTACCTAAATCAGATGGAGAATAGAAAATGATAACTAGAGATAGGTACCTCTTACTTGCCGCGACTGAGAAGGAGAAACCGTCAAAGAAGAGGAACCTGCTAAGCTAGCACTTCCACCTTTGCAGTTTTTGCACCTCATTCCACATTGCCATTCTTCAAACCAGGGGTGTAGTGTAGAAACCTCTAACTCTGTTGGTACACTACACTGCACTGTAAAGTACACTAAACTTCAGTTACAAGCTGGTCGAGTGACAAGAACAATTTTCACTCTGATACCTTTAGGTCAACGGGCTTGACGCGGGAATGAAGCAACATGGGAGTTGAGGTATTCACACCCGCTCAAACGTAAAGGAACGGTAGTCGGTAGCCGCGGATATCCCAGTCGGCTTCTCCCCCGCATCTAGCCCAAGCATCACTATCACTACTATCATTATCTATTTTGCAGAGTAAGACGTACAACAAATACTTGTAGGTGGTAAGGTGGGAGTTTGGACGAATGGAGCCCACAGACGGCTACATAGACATAACATATACATACCTACTATGTAATTTGTGCCGGAGCGGATGGAATTGAATTGGTCTACAGACTAACTACCTCAGGTCGGTAGGCGATAAGCTTCTATGCCGTTTCTTCTCTATTTGCATCGAGTACAAGTAGTCTTGAAGAAGTGCCTGGGATACCAAAACACCGTGACGGGAGGACAGGTTGCTGGCTAGCGGTGAGACAACTCCCAGGCAAAAGCTCGACGGAAGCTGGTGGAAGCCTCCTAGGATCGGGGGGATCCGAAAATTAGGATCGTACGCAACAGGTCACAAGACCATCACAGTTTTTACCGAAGAATGCCTGATTGTGCAGCGTGCCTGGAAACCCAAGACCTTCTCGATAGCGCGCTGATTGTGGTGCCGCGGGTGTCCCATCTCGTTGGGATCTTTTGCTTTTTTGGAGAATTGGAGTTCATTTGGCCTTAGCGATGACCGGGAGTGAGCCGGAGGAACGAGACGGGAGTGGGGGAGGGGTACGAAACTGTGGGGTTGAACGGGTCCCTCTTGACCGTCGTGCAAGGCTGGCACTCTAGTGTACATATTGTGTAACTAGTGTATACACTAAACACGTACATTACCTACTGCGTAGTAGGTAGTACCTTACTCATCTGGGTTAGAAGAAGCGCCTCCTGCCTACAGGCCTTGCCTACCTAGGGTTTGGCGGGGTCGGTTTGCGAAATCCCCCAGCGTAGTGGTACCGTACACACCTGATACAGACATAAAAGCGTCGCGTACAGTTTTTGCGAGTGGCAAGGAAGAACCTTAATTCTCTCGGTGTCCCTGATAGGTTATCCGCACGTGACGTGAGCTCGGTCTCACTTTCGGTACTTTGGCCCGTTAGCCAATTTGGCGTGCACCCGAAGTCCCAACTCTTTTTTTGCGAATTGACCTGATAGTAGAAGGCGAAGCCTGGGTTGCGAGGCGTTTCTAGCCTAGACCTGTAGCATTTTTAGCCCCAATCCATGTATATGGATCTTCAAACTCTGTTTCGACCGATTGCTACAGTGTACACTATCCAAGGGGCATGTCTAAGTACGCTTCAACCCATCAACTCGTTCATTTCCTTCTCTAACCGATACGACTGCCCTCATGAATGGAAACATGGATATTTGATTAGGCTAATTGTTCGCGAATACCGACGGGTCCACGCCCAAAAACACTAAACAAGAAATGATGGAGCTGTGTGGGCGAGCAGGTGAGGTTAGGTTCCCTAGGGCCTCACTTCTCCACGGTGGTCCAGTGATCTAACCCGAAACGGTAACACTCATGAGATCCTGATTCTCATCCACTCCGCTGTGGCACTTATATAGTCGCCTGAGAAGTGGAAATGGGAGATTTTACCGCTCTTCACTACTCCTACACTAGACCAATTTTGATGCCGGTTTCCGGTCAGGGTAACTTGGTCTTGATGCCTTGTAGGTGACTTTATTGTCCGAGATAGCTTTGTTATGATGCCGTTGTCCATATGATAACAACATGACAGGTCGTTAGCCACAGCTCATCGAGTGGTCGACCACTCGCGGCTTCTTCATTTGATGATGAAAAACAATGATGGAAGGCCGCCCAAGTTTTGACTGTTCAGTACACTTTTAGAGGTTGCTTTTACGGCCGGGGTCTAGGAACCCGACGACTGCGAGCCCCCATCCCGCCCCCCATAATTCTCTAGCTCCAAATCTGTCGAGCTTGCAGGCGCGCAACTAACGGAAGAATTTAGGGTGCTCGGGGGGTTACGTACCTAGTCTACGTTCCCTGTTAGGGTTGCTCTGTACTTCTGGCTGAAGTACCTAGGTACGTACCGATGTGGGGGACAAGGGGGGGTTAGAAATAGGAACATTAGTCAGAGTGGGGGTGCACTTTTCGACATCGGGATTCCATCCACCGAGTTATGGCGCCTGTGCTGGCTTCAGGTTTTACATCACATCCGTCCACTGTTGGCATAGTAGGTATCAGGCTCATATCTTCCTCTGCCCAAACCCCACATTCCCTTGCTACCACAAGCAACAATACAGGTAGCTAAATCACATGGAATTAGATATCCGAAGGGGCCTTTTCTTCTCTTGTTTTCTTCTTCCTTTTTTTTTTTTTGGCAGAAATACAAATCCCTAGTCCGATAACCCTTTGGCCGCGGCAGGGAGACTAGGGCTCACCGCTATCATGAACCATCGTTGGGATTTGCATAAACCCGGCCACGTACCTTACAGTAATGACAGTGCCTTCCCATGGAGTTGCAAGTTGTTCATGCCAGCAACGCAAGATGTACACCTTCCACGCACAATTAAGCAAGCCAGGTCCCGATTGCAATCCGCAGTTGGGCGTTAGATCGTTTCGAAAGGACGCCTCGCTGGGTCACCAAATTTGCAGTCATTCGCCAAACAGAACCTTCAACTAAGTTACGTCTCGGGTTTTTCACCAGCAGTCCCAGCCATCGACAACTCAGCTGTCATCCATGCCCGCCCCCGCTTTTCGAGCAGTTTCTATTCCACTAGTATCAAGCACTTTCCCACCTCGTCGTCTTACGCAATTGCGGCACAGCTGTCGAGTCTGGAATACGCAAGCCAGGCAGCGCCATGAGTCTTGACTGCTACGGAATGTCGTCGCCCAACCCTGATGATAGTCAGTTTCTCTGATCCTGTGGGCTATTGCTGATGTCAAAAGTGGCCAACCAGCAGCGGCCGGATCAATGCCGGAATACCGAAGTAGACGTCACAAAAGTCAAAAGCCGGATACCACCCTTACCTACACACCTCTCTCTCTCTCTACAGTACAGTAGAAACCCCTGCTTCGGCAACCAATTCCGTCAGCCCGAGAACCTGCAAAAGAGAGAGCATTTTGCAAAAGTCAGGATTTATACTGGACTTTTGTGTGGTGTATACCTATGTTTGACCGTGTTCGGCTATCATCTTGAAAACCCCTGGATATCACTACGCCATGCATACTAGTGTATGTGGGTAACGGGACCAGTCTCGGACGCAAAACGGGAGAAGAACTTGCTGGTCATGTGCCACAAGCGACGGCATCGATTGACGTTGAGGCGAAGTCAAAAAAGTTCCCGCTGGACGGCACCACTAGTCAAAACCAGTATCATGCCACTGGGACCAAGACTACTGCGTCGATGTGTACACACCGGGCACGCCGAATATGTATCCAGAAGGGAGCATATCTAGTCGAAACTCAAAGAGCCAAGCTCGGGCGGTTGCATCTTATGACGGTCTGATTCGTTGATGAACGTATGCCCCTATCCTCGTTCTTGCCGTCCGGAGCAAATCCGCACTCTCCTGTTTCCAGCAGAAAGATGCGCCGCCTTGTCGATCGGAATATTCATAGCCATCATCATGCCAGGTACCACACCGGGTTCCTTCCATCATTCAAGGCCAATGACGCGGCTGGCATTCGTTGCGGTCAGTGGCAGATACCGGATGCTTCGCATGCATGGCCTTCCCTCGATACTTGAGTTGGCAGAAGTTTCGAGTGTACACTACCTCTATGGAATCCGTGTTCAAACTTTCAACTTGCAGACCCAAGGAAGTCGAGACCACTCCGCAGTGCGACCAACTTGCATCCTTCCGCACTTGGGTATGACATGTCCTACCGCAATTCGAGCAAGCACAAGCCCGAATGCTCGGAGGAGTGCCGCATAGGGCGGTTGGTGTTTTCATCGGTAACCTTGATGAAGGCATTCCGAGACAAAGATGAGCCTAGACAAGCTTGACATTGTAACAGCGATATCATTGTCGTTGACTCGTTCGGAATTGCTGCCTGATTGTCGACGCCCGACCAGTTAATGGCTTCGCTCCATCCAAGTGGTTACTTTCTTCATCGGAGTTGCATA